AGTGCCAGGTTGTTCATCACCTCAGATTTTCCTTCAATCCCATCGGGAAGAATCTTGAGGGCCAGTCTTTCATTGTGAATAGCAGCTTCAAGACTCGCGTGGTCATTCGTGCGTTTGGAGCGTAATATAAATGCGGTAGCTAATCCACTCAGGCATCTGGCTTCAGCAACTGCATTTGTCTTCGGTATATCACGGGCGTTCTCTAGATGGAGAATTGCACGGTTAAGATCCTCTTGATGCCCGGTTGCATCGAACCGCTCCAGCAGGATATTGCTCAGTGTTGTGAGATAGTCCGCTCGGTATTTGCTGCCAGGCTCGCATACTTCGAGAGCTCTCTCTGCAGCCACGATTGACTTGTTGAGGTCCTCCTTGTTTCCAAGTGCCTGATATCGATACTCCAATTGCCGTGCCAACGATTCCAACAAGAGTGGACTATCTGCCGGTCCATCGCGAACAGCCATTGTGGCATGATCCACCGCCTTTTCCATATCCTTTATATTGCCATCTTGTTTGAATCGCTGCCTGAAAAGGTCTGCATGAATCGAACAGAATTTACTCCACTGCGACTCAGTCTTGGGTGTCAAAATCAATGCTGCCGTGACTAGTTCAATGCCTTTCTCAAGATCGTCGCGATTTGCAATCTCCTGGTAGCGGATTAAGAGTTCCGATGCGCGACGGCCTAGATAGAGTCCTCTTTTGGGGTGATCTAGTGGAGTCAAGGATAATGCTTCCAAGCCGACTTCAATTGCCCTATCGAGATGTTCCAAACCCGAGGCGCGCTCATGGAGATCAATCAGATTCTGGCAGAGGTCCTCGAGGTATTCTGCACGAGATTCGTCGGCCTCGACTTTCAATTCCAGGGCTGCTTCGGCAAGCTCTATGGCCTTTCGCAGGTCCTCCAGTGTATCCTGGTATCGGAACCTGGCTCTGTATGCTTTGCCCAGAGCACTCAACCATTCCGGCCGATCTCCACCGTCCTCTTCCCCAATCAAGATCGCCAGTTCAAGCTTGTCTATGGCCATATCCAGGTGGAGCATGGCACCATCCTCGCTCCACTTCTCATTGTACAGCTTGCCTAGCAACTGGAGAGACCTGGGGAGATTTGGGTTTGGGCGCATTAGACTCTTCATCAGTGAGAGCTCCATTTTCCTGATCATCGAGTCAGTTGTGCCGTCACGCGTTAACGATACTGTGTCTTCGACAGGAAGACCTTTCTGCTGTTGCCAAAGCTGTCGTCGCACCCGGTCCAGGTTCAGACCAAGCAGTATGGTTACATCATCACCACGGCCGAACAGTTTGAGGGATATTTCAGCTGCTTTCACTGCCAGAGGCTCTGCCTCCTTGATCTCGCCTCTAGCCAAGTAATCCTTGCTCATCTCAAAGAATAGCAAGCATGCTCTCTTGCTCCAGAGTGATGGGCCTTCATCGAGATCCTTGAGCAGCCGACAGATGTGAGATTCAATGTCTTGTATCCTTCCCAGCCCATATGCAGCATAGCACTGGGACACCAGACTGTATTTCGTGCGCTCGTCTTCCACGCCAAACACAATTTCGTACCGTCGAGTGGATTCCTTGAAGATTGCCTCAGCCTCGGTATATTTCGTCTGGTAGATAAGCATATCCCCTTCATTATTCAACGACCAGATTGCTAAATCGTTATTTTCGCCAAACTTTGCCTGGTACGCTTCATATAGCTGGTGGTGGATCCGCTGCGCGCCGAGATATTGACCTTGCTGTTTCAAGACGTTGGCTAAAGCAATCATGATATCAATGGAGGCTTGATCCTGATTTCCGCGGGCGCCCACGGCCAAGACGAGCGCCTTCTGCAGCATCTCACCAGCATCGGCAAGATTATCTTGTTTTTCCATATTCCGCGCCAGTTGTTGCATGATATTGACTGTTTTCGTATGGTCCTGCCCGTATGTCTCTTTGTACCTCTCGAGTAGTGTATAACATGTCTCCTGTGCTTCGGCATATTTCTCCTGGCGGGCATAGACAGATGCCAAATTCAGTCGCGGGAGCAGAACGCGTACACTTTTTGGGCCGTAGCACGCCTCCACCTGCTGCACCAGCTCGATGAGCATTGTCTCAGCTTCAGGGTACCTCTCTTGGCGAATACGAACAGCCGCAAGGTTGCTGGACACCTGCTGCGTGGATGAGTGATCGGGTCCAAGCGCTACCTTGTAACGGTTCAGTGCAGCTGCGTAGATATTGGCCGCCTTGGTGATATCATTTCGTTTGAACGCAATATTCCCGAGCGACACGAAAGATCTGAGTGTCGATTTGTGTTCAGGTCCTTCGGTTTTATCGAAGGCTTTCCACACTTTTCTGGCGATCTCCTCGGCCTCGTCCAGTCTGCCTTGGTATAGATACACCCCGCCTAGTCGATTCATCGCCACCAGTGTTGTCGGGTGATCTGGACCTGACAGAGCTGTCCGACCTTCCAGAACGCGGGTATATGTGCTCTCAGCCTCCTGCAACTTCCCCGTCTGCCGATAGGTGGTGCCGAGGTACTCGAGGGCATCGAGGGTCTTGTTGTCCTGTAGTCCGAATATTTCCTCGTATGCCTTCGATGCACGCAATAGCATCTTCTTTGCCTTTGTGACATCCCCTTGCTGCTGGTTGTAGACTCCGCGCGCATATATTGATTCTAGGGTTGATAAATGCAGGAGTCTTGGTGATCCTTGATCTTCGATTGTGGCCTCGTGGGAGCCCGATTCTCCGCCACGGCTGTCATCGTTTACGGGGGCCGTGTACCAGCGAGAGACATCGGGACAAGTCTGATCGTGATTTTCTGTTTTGGACTGGGTGAGTTTCTGATGTGCTCGCTCATTCTCCATGTCGTGCTTAATGGTTGTGCCGTGAGAATAAAACACAGATGAGATTCAAGGTAAAAATGGCCTCTTTAGCAAACACGTCACGATACTGCTGTCAGCCTCACCGCTGACTACCAAGATGGTCAAAGTAGCAGTCAGCGAATGTCGAAAATAATACAGAAATATATGGAAAACTAGTCTGTAAACCAGATGGATCTGGCGAAAAAAAGGGTCAGGGGAAGTGAAGATGAGGGGCTCGGGCTTTGTCGACAACATGACTAGCTCGGATTTGAGGCCCGGGGAATATGGCAGAAAAGTGGACATATTACGCCTTCTCACAGTGCTTGCCGAACTGACATGGCTATTTCACCCGAAGCCTCACGATTATCCTCACATTATTGATCGCGCTTGGCTGTAATTATAGAAAGCCGCACCTCTCGCGATCCCGACTAGGTTGCTCTAATGCTCAAATCATGACCGACTCGCACTGATTTAATCCTATTGAATTAGGAGGATTTTAATGGCTAATAGGCCACCGATCTGAGGTTCGGCCTATAAGACCTTGATTTTGATCGAATATGCACTATAGCTAGACCTCGCCACGACCCGGACCGTGGGTCCCTCCTCACGACCCGCGGCCCGCCCCTCCGGTGAGGAGGGTCGTAGGCTGACGACCCTCACCGCACCTGAGGGTCATAAAATCTTTGGAGGGTCACCCGCCAAGCGACGACCCTATATGCATAAATTTTTCACACTTTCCCTAATTTAGGATGGATAAATTTGCTGACACACACTCATAAGTTAGTTAACTAACTAACGTATTTCACGGGTGATCCGGCCACCCCCCCTAAATCTCTCCGCTTCAACCAACGCGTCTACTTTGCTCAACCACCATGCCACCGAAAAAAAAAGCGGATTACGCTCTAAATGAATAGAACAAGGGGGTAGGATCCAAATTGCAATCCAAGCTTTTAAAAATCGCGAAATTCCTTCTATACGTGCGGTGGCGAAAGCTTTCGATATACGGCGTGGTATATTGCAAGACCTATTAAGAGGTAGCGAATTTCAACAAGAATAACGCAACCACAACCTCCGGCTATCTCAAACTCGGGAGGATCATTTAGTGCAATGGATAGTATCCAGGGATACGCGTGGCTGCCCCCCTAGGCATAATCACGTACGAGAAATGGCGAATTTGATCCTCCGAACTGCATCCAATATCCCCTCCAAACCTATCGGGTCAAACTGGGTAACCAACTTTATCGACAGGCGCCCAGAGCTCAAGAACATCGGTCCGAGCCAGCGCTGAATGATTGTAATATTGACCTACTTTTGGTTGACAGAAGCTATCTCTGTTCGAACGCGGAACTCGAAGTTGAGCGGTCACGGGATCCAGCCCGGAATGAAACAACTATAGAACCGGCTCAGTAGACTAAATACATATGAAGATGATACATAGGTGCTTCTTTTACAGAACAAACACTGACCTGCTACCCTCGAGGGGAAGTACGGTATAAACCCATTGCAGATGAATTGATTATAGCGAAAATTATTTTCAGTCATTAGTATATTCAGATATCACTATCTTCAGCAATAAAGATTTTGGCCGAGCATTGACATTATTTTCATATCTTTTCGGTATTGACATGACATGATATTGACATGAATCAATAAACAACATATACAACCGGTTATACCCAAAATATTTGGATGAGTTAGACTTTACCAACTTGTCGTTAGGGCAAAAGACGGATCATGTTCGCGGTCCCGTCCCCACTGGGAAGTGGAAAACTATAAAGATTTCTTCTCCGCTGGTTCCAAACAACCACAAATCCCAAAAGCAAAAAGCAATGACCAGACTGGGGCTCGATCCCAGGACCTTATCGGTGTTAACGATACGTGATAATCATGAAGGGATGGTGCAAAAGCTATGAATTTTGTATGGCGCCTAGGAGATGAATTCGTGGCCCTAAGACACAAAACCATGGCGTCTGCACTTCGGACCTGATGAAGCACCGAGGACCAGGCGAGACACCACTCACGGCCTTGTGGGGCCGCTTGGGGGGGGGGGGGAAGAAATGTGCGCGGCTCCATTAGGTCCTTGGCGACACATGTATAAAGATACCCAACGATTCCCATCTGAATTGCGTCCTGTATCTTTACATATCTCTTCACCATCTCACTATGGGTCGAAAAGCAAAATCACAAGTCCAGAAGGTCGATTACAATGCTATCGCCAAGCGGACAGAGTACAAAAAACTGGAAAGCGATAAAAAGTCTTCAACTAGAGCGAGGGTCCAAGCGATGAAGCATCTCTTCATTGAGTACGCACTCTTTTTTTTTTTTTTTTTTTTTTTTTTTAAATCAAGTTACTAATTCGATAGTTAGGTTCTGTGAGGAACAGCTCAATCCACCAGACTGGGGACATTGGCTTAACAGCGGATTCAACTTCAATACTATTGAAGCATTTATCAGGTGGTATATGAACACACATGAGATTATCCAATTGGCGGCAGCTCAAACTGTCGTCAAGTATTTCATAATGTTCTGTAGAGAATATCGGAGGGAAGAGATCGATTATACTGTCAGGAAAGATGTGAAGCTGGTAAGGCCAACCATTCTATTAGGTCTCTGAGTAAATTCGAAACTTACAAAGATTCAAGCTCGTCGCCGGTCCGATCCGTGTGGATTACGACCTACAAACCGGTCGGATTGAGCAACCGCCATACAATATTGACGATGTTATGTACACAGTATACCATTTGATTGCTTGGTGTCCAGTAATGTTTCCTACGATGCGATGCATATTCCAACACAATGCAACACGGAAAATGATGGCTTCAACAACCGCTCGACCCGGAACGCTCATCGCGTCAGGGGAATACCTGATTGAAAATGATTCTTTGAAATGGAAGGATATTGAACTCTTCATGGTCAAAGATCCTGAACTATCCGGTGGCAAGGTTCTCATCGCGAGGGTAAGACATAGGCTCAACAAGGGTTCACGAAATGAGGGCGCACCGTAAGTCAAATGAAGTATCTGCTTTAATGACAGCCACTAACTATTTATAAGATCCTGTTTCACGTACACAGAGCGGAATGATAACCTAGGACTTTGTGTTATCCAGGATATCCTCACATTCGCCTTTCTTGATGACGCCTTTGATAGCGAGTATATAAAATGCCCTCGGGATGTATGGACGCTCACAGACATTCCGGATCACCGTCTTAGCACCCCGATCGAATTCAAGGACTCAATCAAGGATCTTCCTATCTTACGGGGTGTTATTAAGGGCAAAAACGGCTCCTATACGACCCATCCCTCAGCTGCTCTTCCATATCATCAACTGAATCGATGGGAGCGATCTGCCACTCGATCCGCTGGCTTTAAAGAATTAGGAACTCTTTACAAATATCGCAAAGGTGCAGCTGATAAGATTAGTATGATTTCTACACACACCTAGGAAAGTTCAAAATATGCTAACATGCTGCTATAGAGCAACTTGATGAGCACTCTCGGAATCGTATCATGGGTCACCGTCAAGGGAGAACATTTGCACATTACGTATCAGTCACGAATGATACACAATCATTGTTCATGGAAACACCAGCTAGGACAACATTGCTCAGCCTCGCCACTCATGCAAGTATTACACGAGATCCTTCGGCACCGCAGGATCTCACCGACGAACAAAAAAAGGCTATACATTCCATTCCTGAAGTGCGAGAGCTCACAGAGAAGCGTGAAGAGCTCCAGGCAGATATCTTGAAAACACACGGTGACCTGAACCTTGCTAAAGAGTCTTGTGATCCCCGATTCGCTGAGTCAGCTGTTCTCTTGGCCAAGTTGAAATGGCAGCGCCAGAAAGCGAGAGCCTCTATGTTACAAGAAGCGCGCGTTAATTTTTTTCGGCAGATTGGGAATCAAATTATCGAAAAAAACCGACTAGGAGAGAAGGTCTTTTATGAACCTGATACTTCGCGAATCCAGCCTGAGAGGCTACAACTCGCAGAACTAGAATTCAAAAACCGGGATGTTGATCAAATTGATCCAGATGACTTAGCTGAAGACAGAATTCGCTCGTTAGAATTACGGCTACAGCTAATTCAAATCTACTCGCCCATGAAAGCTTCCACAGTGAAGGCCATTCAGCGACAAAACGAGTTGAAGGAACAGCGTGAAGAGAAACAGAAGCGCAGAGAAGTGAAGGAAGACTCTTCAGAGGTCCTTCAGTGCCCTATATGCCTCGGTGGTAGGGACAAAAAACCTCATCGATCCCGACGAGAATATGTATATTCTCGGAGAAGTGCCCTACTTCGGCATTTCAGGTCAACGCATCCGCTGCCGCTTTTCTTTCAACCCCCTCGCCAATGCGATATTCCAGGGTGTCTATCTTCTCATCCGTCATTGGGTGGATATATGCGTCACCTCCGCGAGAAGCATCGGATTTTCTTGTGATATTCAATCTTGTATCTATTTTTCTTTTCTTAGCAGTAAAAGCCTTCTATCACGTATCCTTCCGTACCCGCGGACCTGAAATTTGCCTGTTACGGCCTAGGCATGGTGGCGAAGTCAAGCATACAACAAGGATGATGCCCTCCCAGTCACTCCGTGTCTTATTTTAGAAGCTCGAGTTGCTTCCAATAATAGGTCCAAGGCTATTTGAAATCCACAGACTAGTTCTTGTTGGCTACGCAAGCTTAGCAAGAAATATGACTCGTGACATAGGAGCCTGCCGTCACAAGTATGCCTTGGCCGTGCTATTCAGCCTAAGTGTGACGGTCTACAAAGGAGCCTAGTGAAAGACAAGTTTGTTTCCCACTCGTAGTCAAAGAATTTTCCCATGAAGAGGAAAAGCTATCTAAGAGGGAGGATCTAGGGCCTCTATATACTTCCTGAGTCTTCGCCTTAGGCAGGAAGGCTCCATGAGCATCCAGGAACCTTCCTGGACGCCTACCGGAGGGTCCCTTGATCCTACACTAACTAACCGGAATGTTCAGGAGGTGACACCAAGGCACAAAAGTATATATGCTCGCAAAGATACCTTACAAAAACATATCAAAACGCATCGGCTTCAGGGGAGATTTTCAAATGGTCGCAAATGTGACTATCCCGGGTGTCAGACAGTTCTCGATTCGCTCGCTCGATACAAATTCCACCAGAATGAGGTGCACCGGATTAATCTCTGATAGTATTATAGATCATTGTTGCTGTTTAGGTTTCAGATAGCTATGCACATTTCCAAGTGGGACTTGTTGATATAGGCGCGAAATTACTTCCACCAAGAAAGAACCAGATAAATAAACTTCATTCACGCTGGGCAATCAATCAGAGCATAAAAGCAAGCCTGGAGACCTTTAGCGGATGTACCATTCATCAGATAATATAATTTAAACCTTTCTGGGCCGTCTTATTCCCCTGTTAACGTTCGAGGTACCCGTATCAGATAATACAGGACTTTTGCATGTCAACGAGCCAGGATTCTCTCTGAGAGAAAGGTACGTCGGGATCCGAACTTTCAGATCACTTGCTTCTATTGCTTGTTAGATCTGATCACTATAACAGAGTGGGTAGAATAACCTTGCACAAGTAAACTACCATCAAGGCGTGTCTCTGCTGGCTCGGGGCCAGTATTTGGATCCATCTTGAAAATGATACCTAGAACTTGACGTTCGCATTGAAAAAATGAATGAGAGAAAAAACTCGATATTTAAACTGATGGGATAGGCCAAGTGTAAAAGAGGGGCCATGAATTCACAATTTTCTAGAGGGGCCATGGAGCCATAGTTTTCTAAAGGGGCATGCATGTGAGGGAACAGCCGCTGGTTATTATTTTAATAATGATATCGCGTAACCCACAAGAAACAGAATTGGTTTGACAACAGAAATGACGTCAGATTGAAAGTTAGCTATCTAGTACATTTACCTACTCAGTAGTAGGCTTATAGACAGAAAACGGACTCCCAGGTCTTTTGTGTGAACTAGAAGATTATTAATTACAATTCTGGTATAGACTTTATATCCTTATCGCAAGCTACAAACTCTAGAATCATTGTCCAAATTTTTTTTATTGCTGTCTAAAATATGCCATTACTTTACTCTTGCTTGCTTATCATGTATGCCAATTTGTGTACTGTCATGCGAAGCAGCATAAAAGCAGAAACCCGCTTGACTAGCTTCTATATCAGGACAACTATCAGACAGAATACGTGGTAGCAAAGTCGTAGTTCAGTCAAGTCTGACTATGGCGCCGCGAAGAATAACATTAAAGTTCATCCTCACTCTCATCGGCGAATTGAGTCTGTGTCATAGCTGGCTGAATGGGACCTTGAAACATGGGGTTTTGCGGCCAGTAGGGATGAGGTTGAAAAGCTGACGGCTGTTGAAAATGGGAATGTTGAAACGCGGGTTGCTGCTTTTGAGGATAATTCCATTGAGGCATCATTGGCGGCTGTAAATGAGAAGGTTGAAGAACGTTATACCACTGACCACCACCAGGATTGATAGGGCCCCATGGACCATCCCAAGGAGATGCTTTGGGCTGCATAAATCTCTGCTCTGGGGCGAACGCATTCACGTCATAACCCGTAGCTGCTAACGCACTCTGTGGTCCCCAGGGAGATGATTGTGGCTGATTCCCAAGGGATTGATGAAGACTGTTTGCTCGTGGTTGGTAGTAGAGAGGAGAAATGCCGCTTAGTCGACTCTCTAAGGCATCCCTGAGAGTCATATCTGAAAAACCGGTAATCCCTTCTGCTGTCAATCGCTCAGCCTCTGTTAGTGATAAGATCTTTGCCAGGTTTGATCGAGAGATAGCGACATCTGTCCGTAAGTTTTGGAATATGTGATAAAACCCAACTACAACAAAAGGGAGCCTATTCCGGCTGATATTCCATTCACCGACTGCCACCCATGTGAGGCCGTAGGTTCCACCAGCCCGTACTCTTCTTTTCAGATCATTGATCTCGGCTTCGGAGCGCGTAGTGTATGGCACACCTTGCGAAACTGCCCCTTCTATCGCAGGTTTACCTCCAGCAGATGCACTCGGAACCAAACGAACCGATCCGTCAGCCGACTCAACAACAAAGTTAGCACGGTTTGTGCCAAGGTGTTGGATAAACTTGATCTTCTCTCCCATTGAGGTCTTTCCAGGCTCGATAGATCTTTTGCTGGTACGTGGCTTAACAGCGATAACCATTCGGCGTCTCTGCATCTGATTGCTGACTTGGACGGCCTGAGAGTTCATGGGAGAAGTCTGCGACTCATTCATTGGGAGTTGAGAACCGTGCATTGGGGGCTGACCCATTGGTACCTGTGAAGTACCCATTGTGGGCTGAGAACTGCCGATTGGAGGTTGAGAGCTGCCCATTGGGGGCTGACCCATTGGTACCTGTGAAGTACCCATTGTGGGCTGAGAGCTGCCCATTGGAGGTTGAGAGCTGCCCATTGGAGGTTGAGAGCTGCCCATTGGGAGCTGACCCATTGGCACCTGTGAAGTACCCATTGTGGGCTGAGAACTGCCCATTGGGGGCTGGCCCATTGGTACCTGTGAAGTACCCATTGTGGGCTGAGAGCTGCCCATTGGAGGTTGAGAGCTGCCCATTGGGGGCTGACCCATTGGCACCTGTGAAGTACCCATTGGAGGTTGAGAGCTGCCCATTTGGGGCTGACCCATTGGTACCTGTGAAGTACCCATTGTGGGCTGAGAACTGCCAATTGGAGGTTGAGAGCTGCCCATTGAAGGCTGACCCATCGGTACCTGAGAACTACCCATCTGGGGCGAGACGTCTTGTGGAACCCAATCATCTGGGTAGTTTCTCATTCTGCAGAGATCTTTGAGGGATGCATGTTCTGATTGAAAATTGGTTGCATCTCCTTTGTGACAGTAATCCGCAAGTTTTAAGTAACGGCTGCCCATATCCGGTATATCCACATAGTGAGCCATGCGGTCTTGATTGTATGCAAGATTAATTTTTTCAAGTTCCTGAGAGAAAATGTCGGTGACTGCGGCATATTGCTCGGCCGCCTCCCGGGAACCTGCAAGAGCTTTTTGATACCAGGAATGGAAACGGGGTGTCAGGCTAGACCACAGTAGAGACTGGTACCCCTGGACAGGCTCATAGCGGTAGCTCTTTTGCGGAGGGCAACATAACCACCCGTTGGGATACTGAAGTTCGCGACAAAAAGCCACAGTTGTGGTTTCCGCGATTTTCTGTGCTGTGTCGTTCCCTCTAGATGAATGTAGGAATTTCCATTTGCCCAACAGTCGAAAATAATCGACACAGCCTATGTTGCTTTTATAGTTGTTCTTTTTGTTCTGCATTTCCAAGTTTTGATTGATTTTATCCAGAGCGCCGCGGTGTCGTTCGGTAGTTGGATCATTGGCCCAATTGCCTTTCAACATAGAGTCGTAAAGAAATGCTAAGTGCTTGGTAGCCCTCATATGATTTGAGAGGTGATACGCTCTGAGGCCAGTCGGTTCGCACTTCTCTTCGGTGACTTGGGGATCTTCATGATAGTATTTCCAATCTTTTCTCTGAATTTCCCCAGTCTGGCGTCCTATAACATCCATAGCATACTCAAAATCTATTATTTTAGTCAGTAAAGATAATTTAAACGTATGTATTCTTTCCACTTACTCTGCGTGGCAACGACAGCCCTTGGGTGTTTCTCCTGATTCATAACCCATTTATCAGGAGCTATCATCACCCTGAGTTCCCATAAAGTCATTTCGAAGCCATTAGGTATCGCAGATTTGAAATCCCTCATAAATGTTTGCGGATCATCTGCAGCGGCAATGGCCTCTAGCATAGATAACTTTTGTTCGTCATTCATTGCTCGAGCACTCTGATCCTCTTCTGAGTCAGTGTTGTCGGCGCCGTCTGCGTTGTCATGAAATCCTGGTTCTTCAACAGGAACTTCCTGGCCTGCAAACATATGCATCGTTGTGTCTCTTGGTTCTGTAGCAATACTGCTATTCTGCACATGTGCTTGGGGCGTCAATAGATTGCTTGGCTGATGGACCAGATTGTTTGGCTGATGGACCAGATTGTTTGGCTGATTGACCAGATTGTTTGGCTGATTGACGGAATTGCTTGAATGAATAGCCGGATTGCTCGGCTGATTAACCGAAATTTGGGGCGCAGGTATAGTGACGGAGGAAGGGCCGTTATGGCCTGTACGAACTAAAGCAGACGCAGGGTATTCTGGCTCCTCATGATCGATAACATCACTACCATCCACCCTGGACACAGCGAACTCTTGAGACATGATGAAAGAATAACGATTTTTTTTCTGGCTTTTATAAAAGATAAAAGGAGATAAGTCAGATGCTTTAAAAAAGAAATGCGTAAAAAGGTAGAAAGATTGGAAAAGTAAAGTACTAGACTGAGCCGGCAGTCAAAATCACAGAGGTAATAAGATCGAATCAATTTCAAGGAGTTACTGTGCTGAAATGAGATGAAGGGGATATTATGTTGAATTTATATCGAGCCCTGAATACAGTGAATTAGGAACCGTAGCTAAGTAGGAACCATGATCTCGCGGGAATTATGGTCTGGCGGGAACCATGGCCTGGTGGGAACCATGGCCTGGCGGGAACCATAGCCATGAATAATATTTAATAAGCGCTTTCTCGAGAGTTATGACTGGTCCATATGCAGGCATTACAACAAAGTTCTCGTGAATTTTCATTATGCCCTTTTTACTGCCTGTGAGCATGCTAGAAAGAATAATCACTTTGAGTGTTCTTTGTGTTGGTGTGCTAACAGCAACTGTTGAGTAAGTCAGCATCTCCTAAACTAGGTTCTATTCTTACGGTACAAAGGGTAAATCAAGAAGTCGCTGTTAGTTTCAGCGAACCGAATGAGCAAGTAATGCACCATGTACACGTCGGATCTCAAAGTACTCCAGCATTTAATCCTAACCGGCTGAACGCGAATATTGGTGATCAAATAACATTCGAATTTTATGGACTTAATCACACCTTGACAGAATCAACTCTAGAAGAACCTTGCATGGCAAAGAATGAATTCGACACGGGTTTTAGCCAGTTCAATTCTGATAACGAAATCGGACTTAGTCTCGTTCTCACAGTCAACTCACTTGACCCCCGGTGGTTCTTCTGCAAACAAGATGTACCATCCTCTCATTGCCATGAAGGCATGGTGTTCGGTCTCAATCCGGGAGACGACATGCAATCCTTTCTCCTAAATGCAAAGAAAGAAGCTCTTACAGAAGCCGTGACTAGACAGACAAGAAGTCTTGATGCTCTTTCCAACACGAGTCCTATCGCTATTCCCCGGGATGCCAGTAGCCGAGTTAGCTTCAGTCCTAGTCCGAGCACTAGCCCTCTCCGTTCAAGCAGTGGCGTCCCCAGTCCGATCACTGGCCCTCTCCGTTCAAGCAGTGGCACCCCCAGCCCGAGCACTGGCCCTCTCCGTTCAAGCAGTGGCACCCCCAGCCCGAGCACTGGCTCTCTCCGTTCAAGCAGTGGCACCCCCAGCTCGAGCAGTGGACCTCTCCGTTCAAGCAGTGGCACCCCCAGCCCGAGCAGTGGACCTCTGCTTACAACCAGTGCCCCCCCCAGTCTGAGTACTGGCAGTTGCAATCTTGATATAAAGCCTATTGAGATTTCTACTGTCACCCGCACTGTGGGTTGCTCCGCAAGTTCTAACGTAAACTCCCTTAGGCGGTCTGTATCTTTGCCAGATTCTACATCTTCAGGTGGCCTGTCTTTACTATTTCCCTTTGCTGCATTGAGTGTTACCTTTTTTGCAGCGATAATGATTTTATAAGTCTATCGCATGTTAGGCTTATTATGTCTGTTGTTCTTTCGCGAAGCCTGCGTCATGTCTCTCTTTTCTGTCTCGCGTGCTTCTACTTGCTATCTTTCAATCCTCAGTTCCTTACGTCCGTGTATTGTTATATAGCTTATTAAATCAAAAACCGTATCTATAAGAGTTATTCCAATTAACATCTGTTGGAGAATTAGAATCTCTAAATTTGGAGTGATATAACCGCTGCTAATTACCACATTAAGTTTACCTACCATTTTACGTTGAAGGCACTTGATTTAGTAATAACCTTTCAAACGGCAGGTGTATGGTATATATTTGGAAAATATATTTTCTATAATTAGGTAGGCAATGGACGCAAAAAGCTCGTTCGTTAAATAGAAGGCGGGACAGTGTCTGAGAATAGAATTAGACATTGGCGCTTAGTTAATGATAAATTGCCGCCGGCCCAAGACCCATGGCTGGTAAAAGGAAATCAGGACACAGTTTGGAATATAATAACCATGGCCTCTGTGACTTTCCCTCTTGAAATAAAAGGAATAACAACCAGGATTCGGGTTCCAATTACTATTCGCATATTCATTTACAGAAATCAGCAGAACATGCCGCCGCAGAGTCAACGCTCACTCTCCTGGAGAGAGAAACGCAAATCACGTGGTCCTACATTTGACGTGAAAAAGAAAACCAAGGCAGACCGCGAAAGATTTCGTCGAGGCCGAGCTGGTTCTTTCAAGCGTCTCAATGACCTATACCTGGATGGCGTGGATACTGGACGGGAGCGCCGTGTTTATGTGGTTGTCTCTAGCAAAACCAAAGGCCCGCGTGGATCCGTACGATATTCAACATACAACTCCCATCCCAATGACGATTGGGTCCCGCTCCATGATGAAGTAGTAAGTATTCTAATTCTATGATTCTTTGAGAGGCCCGAAAAACATTATTTAACATGAATAGCTCGAGCACTGGCCGAAAACAGATCAATGGACACCGGAGAGCTTTGGCAATGATAAAGAGCAAAGCGCCAACAAAAGCCAACACACTAAATCCTCCAAACGAAACCGAAGTCCAGGCCGCCTGTTTACTGTTTCAAAGCCACCTTTATTAAACCTTCCTCAAACTCCAACTCTTACTTGAATACATGAAGTATGAGGGGTAGTATGCCATATACAGGGAGGATTTTGGATCTTGTATTTAACTGTATTCTGCATGGATTCATGAGCCAATTATGCTTTGTGCCTCATAGCAAGTACTATATTAAGTATGCAAACTTGTTTTTGACCGTCTTAACTCTTTGAAACATATTGACCCAGGCATGATAGAGCATATTAGAATTTAACCCATGGAGTGAACGCATGCTGGTTTAGATTTAATGATGACGTAGCCCTCTAGGAATCAAATACCTTCATAATGCGAACTTGATAGCATACTATATTTCATATGTGTCTTCAAGATTGCAAACTATCATAAATATCCTGCCAATAATACATGTTCTGCGTCCAGGGAGACTTGCTGCAAGGTGGCTCAATCTCTCTTTGAATCCGTGCAATTGTTAACAGATACTTCACCCAATATACTCTGTAAGACGGAATCGCCTCATATAAGACACCTATAAACTTATAGCATTTTCCAACAACTGCAAGTCGACAACAAGCTGGCCCTTCCCGTGTACCCTCCAAAATCCAACGCAAGTCTCTCCACAGCCGGTTAGGGAGAGCATATGAGTTTGTGATATGTCCACCCCTTTCGATTGCTCGGTCCCGGTGTAACAGGGCTGAATAGAGCTCGGTGATCTTGTCAAGCGATGCAAGAAGTTCAACTGAGTTTGACTTAGATAGGGGGCCAGTGCCCTCTAAGAGTCTCCCAGCGTGTGAGAGTTCCGTATTCAGTGATTGAAAATCACAGCCGGAATTTGCGCCGGGCGACGACGACCCCATACGCGATAGGGGGCCGTACGTAATAGCCCTTGGGCCATACAGATCCAATGCAACCGCGAGATTAAAAGTAAGGTCCTCATATGCATCCCGGAAGATACTCCTTAGCATGTTGTAGTTGATTTTTCGACAAGACCGAACTGCTCTGTGGAACCTGGCGAATGCTGGTGCGGTGTCTTTTTCACAATCCTTTGCTTGTTGAAATAATTCCCAGGAGCTTGCACCACTGTAGAAGTACATCAAGATCTGTCCTATAGCATGGAGGTCATCGAGCGCAGACGTGTTCGCTTCAGCCTTGGTTGCAAAATCCACAAGGAGAATTTGTTGGCTTTGCCACCCTGGATTGCCCATAGCGAATGACCACGGACTGAGGTCTCCGTGTATAATTTTTCTAGAATGAATGAACTCGACACGAGCGAGTAATTGGTCCGCGAATTCAATAAGTGTTTTGAAACTGAAATAGCGACCTGATTGGGAGAAAAGGTCTTCCAAAGACGGACCATATGTATCGGTCACCATGACTTCTTTCCCATTAACAGAGCCACACCAATGAAGGACAGGTATTCCAATACCGCCTGATGAAACATTGAGAAGGTTTGCTTCATCTGCTAAGCTGGAAAAGCAGTATTCTTTAATGAATACCTCTTCGTGTGTGATGGAATGGCGGCCTAAAAGATGTTAGGGACACCACTAAATTAGGAATGAAACCTACCCAAACCAATACTTCCAAGAACATTTGGCCATTCAACAATTTGGAAGGGGAATGTAGAAGATACCTTAATCTCATTCATTCTGCTATATCTTGCAATCCTGAAAATTTATGCGTAGAACGTGTGACGACTGATCATTCGGTGGGGCATTGAAGTGCTTTATAAGTTGCGGGGAAAGCCACGGTTTTAGTTGTGAATATTATGGTCCTTTGATAGACGCCTCGAAATGCCAGCGCTTATAGCTGATCGGCAATATTACTTGCCAGAATACTATCCTTGTCTTGTGACCAAGAGAGAACACAAAATGTATGGTTATAATATCTTCTACACGTGGACTCTATGGCTCATATCAACGTGATTAATACTGAGGACGGGCCTCGCATTGGAAGCTGAACTTGAGGCACCCATCAAATCCTTTTGCAAAAACGTGAACATGCCAGGTGCCACATTGGTCAATTTTTCGAGGGGAGAAAACGTAGAAGTTCTCTCGAGAATAATAAACCTTCTCACAATCCCAGAATGTCTCGGAAATCTCATTGAAAACGACCCTTGCAGATAAACTGCTTGGTTTGCCTCCTGTTGAACATATCATCGGTAACGCAAACGTATCCCCCGAGTAGATAAACCGAGGCGGTGGGATTAACACCTCTACCGCCTTATCGCCATATTGGTGATTCAGTTTCCAGTCGGCTTCGTGGTACCTATTTCAGTCATTACTGTCGGCGAGTGAATTTTAAAGGGCGTGTCACCCACTGCTTCTGCATTACATGGTAATTTTGTACCAGTGATTGACATGACAAGCAGGATGATTCCGGATGATACTCGTAGAGTGCATCCCGTCGGGAATTAGTGGCCGTGCTGCCTCTTCCGAATGCGAGCCGCATCGCGTTTAATTGGGAGTTAAAGAGACGATTGGAAAGATATAATATGACCGAATCCTCCTGAGGCACAAAAGGTTTCTTGGATGGTCTCTGGCACGGGTGCACTTGACAAAAGTTGGGATGCATGGACGAGACTAGATGTGCAGAGATGGTCAACAATATACTCCAGTATAGGGTCGGGTGTGGTACTTTTTTTTCTATCCTGGCCATGAGGAATTAAAACTGGGCTCGACCTCTTTGGATCCTCATTAAACTTATTGACGATGAAGGAGATATCCATGATAGCTAGAAATATTTACAAAGGGATCAAAACATCATGTATAGGCACCCCTTTGATTGATAATTGTGAATGAGTAGAGTATAAAAACATGAGTAGAGTATAAGAAGTGCAATTAATAAGTGGCTCTTGGAATTTTCGTTTAAGTGAGCTAGTGGGTAATGCAAGCGCCTAATTTAGTACAAACTCAAAATTTGGAGGCATCCCGTGCTTTTCCTATTGAGTAATAGTGCAAAGATCTTTACCTAAACAAAGTTAATTTCATTTTCGCCCTGAACTAAACTTAGAGATTCTAAAGTAAGTAGATAAAATTACTCGCTATTTTTTGTAGCCATACCGCCAATGAATGGCCTAAGATGCCTCTCATTTAGCTAATCGATGTGAGACAAGAAAATAAAAACCAGTCACTCAGCGCGATACAATACAGCCTTACAGCAACAAAACACCGTTATTGAACACTCAAATCTCCTCATCCGCAGTAAATACAGGGCCTGTTGGGGTTTCCGGTCCATCTCCGAGCTTGTCAAGTGCTTCAGTAACTTCCATCATCCAGGGCTGCAAGTGTATTAAATATGCCTTCAATTGCTTCAAAATACTGGTAACGGGTTAGTATAGCATTGAAAAATCTATACAACATCGACTCACGTTCTCATATAATTCAATCTGTATGGCAGTTAGACATACAGCTTAACAAAATACAGAAGGCCTCTTCTTACTCTTGCTCCAGGTCGTCGACACGAGACTGTAAGGTTTCATGTTTGGTCATGTCTGCGCCATCGCCGGTGGCTTCTTCGAGGACGGATGAAAATTCATTGCCTGTTACTGCAAAGGAAGGAGCATGGTCGAAAGAGGCACTGTTAAAGCTCTCTATTCCAAGGCTTGAAGGATTGATACCTAGGCCATATGGTGAGGTTGATTGGGGTAGATTGTCCAGGCTTTGAAGCAGGTCCATGAGCTGTTCGTCCGTGAATTGTGCTTCCATTGTGTGAGCTGGGTGGGTGAAAGGAAAGATGAATGGTCTGTCCCACAGAGCCAACGTTTTTATACGTGGGAGGGCCACGGTTATTTCATAGAGAAACTATGGCCGACTAGGCGATAACATCCCTGGCCCTAAACTCTTGGCCTCGTGCGGGGTATGACAAAAGAAATATTACAAATATAAGAGCTACCACTCACTAAAAAGAGCAGTACAATCTGGGGGCCGAAGACACATGAGTTTCTTGTTTGTCACATCCTGTGTGTTAAATGGCGATGCAGGCGATTGAAAAAGGCAACGAGTATAGAACGGACCAAGTACTGGATAATGTACGTCAAATGATCGAATCAAAGAACGAAAGTGCCTAACTACAAACAGGCGGATACAAGCCTTGTGGCCTACGAAAGTTCTACGCCAAATTTAATCGCTGAGCTACGCAGGGCGCGCTTGCTCCTTATGGAGGACCAAGCTTTAATTGAAACGCTACGCCAACAAAACCACGAATTGAGAGAAACGCTGAATCAATCCAATTTTATGTTGAAACGGTGTCGTGAACTTCTGGGAAGTGTATTGAAGTAAGGAAACACTTGTGATTCAAAGAAAGGATTAAAACCCGTCAAATGTATTTTCTTTTGTTTCCTCGAGCACTTGTGCTACAGGCAGGGCAATCCACCTGTAAGGGAATACTGTGATTCGCAGAGCCAAAGGGACAGTTTAGTTGTTGTTCATCAATGAACCATTGCATTTTGTTGGGAAATGCACTCAATCGTCGCGTAGCAGTACCGAGCCTTAGCGATAATGTGACGACTTCCTCGAGGTCACGGACGACAAACCGAACGGGTAATGAGTATCGATGACAGACTTGGCAAATATCCTCGGTAGAAAGGGCCAGTCCGAGGTTTATTTTGTCTTTAAAAAACTCTATTCTTCCCGGTTCGATCATAGATAGACGTGTGATCAGAGCCTGTGCCTGAGTGCGACACCGAATCGTGCCAGTGCATTGAATTAGACCGGCTCGGTACTCTGGTACGGCGTCTAGCCGGAAAAAGAAACATGAAATAAGCAAGGCCGTAACGGCATCTTGGTGGTTGTTTGGATCTCCTGGGTGTTTTCGAACTTGTTCAGATAAATCATCCATACACTCAGTATTGTCCATCGCTGGCAGGCCATCTGGAAAAGACGAATCAAACCTAAAGTATCCTGCGCGCGCACTATCGTCAAGAAGCCCCACGAGCTCTCTCCACGTTGTCTGGCCATCAAAAGACGACCTCAGAGAGCGATATACACGGGGTACCCATCCGTCGACGAGAATATTGCGGAAGCGCGAGGCTCTTGGGGATACATTTGCAACCTCTGATCCTGTTCCCAGAGAAACTAGGATATCAGGATCAGCAGTGTTTGGCCACAAATGCCGAGCTTCAGACAATGCCAGATTAACGGGGTTATTATGCCGTCTCATCCCACCATCTTGAAAGGTGCCTAATCCAGGTATATCAATTGTTGGGAAAAGTCTGTCAAGTCTCAGTTAATGATGTTCAAGAATGAGTGCTATGTACTTACGGTGGGGCTGCTGCAGTAGCTCGAGCACTGATTCAGTTTAGCTATCAGTTATGGACATGCTTTGGAACGTAAACCTACATTTCCCAGACGAATGGCTCGCTTTCAAGATCTGGTATGATTCTTCCGTATGCTAAAATAGTCAGCAATTTTCTAAACCATATGCAAGCCCCATTTACCTGGCTCCAGCCTATGCGGCGCTGCTCCATTATAGTTTGCGAAAATGTACGGCGCTCCATCTCTTATGGAAGTTGCTGTGACGGCAACTTTACCCGAGGATATAAATGACCTTGGAGCATCAAACAATCGCCTAGACTCCCCAAAGTGCTCCTTGAGAGTATGTTCAAATGCAATTGTGTCATAAGCTCCATCGGCCAGCCAAAAACTCAGATATCGCTTTCTTCGTGCGGGAGCAAAGATCTTTCTTGCCATTGCGCAAAAGAGAGCCTTGCATTGGGAAATGTGCATGGCGAGAATTGTTATAGTGAGAACAATAATACCCCCGGAGCTACTGCCGACTTTAAGCTCGAAAAGATCATTGATGGGGAGATCTGGGCCAAGGAGCTCCTGTACTATCTCCAGATTCTCCAGGGGAATAATACCGCGAGGACCTCCACCATCTATAGTTAAAACCCGGGGAGCAGCGGTTGAAGGTTTCAGCCTAACAGTAAGGCCTTTTGACCCTCCACACAGGATGCACACACGCATGAGATACTCGCACTCCATATGTGGAGAAGGCTCGCCGAATATCTCTGTACACGTATCACAAAATGTGTGACCGCAACTTTGGGGGTGCTCTGGATTTCGTCGTATACACCACAAACAGGTTTTGTTGGACCGCACCCAACCCCAGTATTTGCTTTGGCTTTCGAGATTTCGCTTATGGATCTCAGATGATGAAACCGACTTCTTGGTCATCCTTTCGAAGTGTGCGCTGAAGTAACTTTCTATTTTACGACACTGGACATCCGCAAAGACATCGGTGCTATAACAATGCCGCAGTGCAGTGTAGCATGCTTCGCGATATAGAGTGTGGAACATCATAGTTGGACAGAATCCTTGATAGTATTAGCGCAGGCAACCCCCAAGGGAAATATTCAGGACACAAACTATGCATCCCTGGAGGGTAGGCATCCATCAGTATCGCAGAGGCGATGTATGATGCGACATCATCGTATGGGGCACGGCTTCTATTCCCAAGAGCGAAAAATTCAACCAAGTGCGACACAAATGACCCATCAAGAGGGTTTCGCTGCCTTGATGCGTGAACAAAGTTGAAAGGCAAGAATAAGGCAGTAGTAGAATGTCTTAGCGAAAGCTCAAAGAAAGCGTTCAGGTGGGTTGCAGAGAATAAAGCGTGCTCGCAGTCTCGATAATTACGCGCTTCGCGAAGTGCATGAACCATGTCGCTCCCAAGTCTCATGTAGCGGGCCTCAGGGGATAAACCGGGTCTGCGCAGGCGAGAAAATTGGATATCACTGAAAACAGTGAATAAAGGAACCTCACAAGCCTCGATGAGGCTGGACAGAAAACTTTCTTTTGCCTCAGATGAGCTTGCTGGGCTTTGAATATGGTCACTCGCAACAATAATGACTCTGGGTCTAATTTGTGCGATAGTAGAGGCCGAGCCAATTTTGGCCCATGTCAACAAAAGTTCCCAGACTTTTTCAGGGCCACCGACATCATCCGCAAAAATACAAATAACATCCACGAAGAGGAATAATACTCGCGAAAGTACAAGGTCATGAAACGAATATTCTGTTGGGGGTAATTCAACCGGGAAAACTTGTTCCTGGTGACAGATATGTCGGTGATCGGATGCGGGCAACAGTGAATGATTCAGCGGGTCGCAGTCAGCAAAGAACCGAGGATGCGAGGAATGCCATGTTCGGTTATCTAGACGCAGATTAATGAAGTGATGGCGGCCCTGTCCGCGATAATTGCTCCCGCACAGCTGGCGCAATGCCTGGTTCTTCACTTGTCGCCCCATAAAGAAAATAACCTGCGGCAGTTGAATTGAGGGATTGGGCAGCTCTCCAGTCAATTGCGCAAGCCGGGACCCATAGTTGATCTGTGGCACAGCCCTCCCCTGGGCCAGGTCGATCCAAGACCTATGCTCGCACTTTGACATTCTGCTGGATGTTTGGTTTGGGAAATTGTAGAAAACTAGAGATCCTTATATCATGAAAACACCATGCTTTTTCTCATTACCACAGTTTTCAAAAATATGGTAAGAATGATTGCAAAAAGACCATTGGGCCACACCCATCTGGTACCGTGGCCTAGCAAAGTAGCACTATCCCACTTTGATGTATGTGCTACGGTGAGCTACATCGGAGTATACCCCAAATACTTGTGTCTTCTGGTGTTTGATTGACATTTATCTTTAAGTACGCCTCTCGTTTAAGCGCCCCTTCTATCTCAATTTAGACAAGCTGATGCGTTATTTCAAGACACCAGCGAGGTTCCCCCCTCGATAGTCCTCGGTAACAATCCGTGGGCAACAAAAAATTCCAACACAGTCGTAACTTCCATTTTGCAACCGCGTAATATATTAATATTGAAGTGGCAGAGTGGAGGACATTTGTAGACATGTAATGTTGCCTTTCAATTCTAGCTTGTCTAATCTTCGCTGTATGAGTGGACTTGCGCCAATGCCGATGGACGGAAATGCAAAAGGACTGCAAGTAGTTCCCGAGCACCATGAGCTGAACGGGGTGACATTGACCCCAATCCCACGCCACTCACGAGTAATATCGCCGCAGTTGTAGCCGCCCAAACAGGCAAAGCACGGGATGGCTGTATTATCCATGGATTGACTAGCCGGCCCTAGCGCTTAACGTGACCACTCCTTGCTGCGGCGTACCGACGAACTTAATATCGGTTGGCCAGCGGCAGTTCCGGGAAAATAGACCCAGTAAATTAGCTCGGAACTAAGCTCTTGTTCCCTTTAATGACTGCGCTTAGGAGCAATTGGGGTCGCATAACTACGCCGTACAAAACAGACCCTTGTTCAAAGGCTTCTCACCCCTTCACGCAGCTTCGTAATTGTTAAAGTAGCCGGATTCCTTTCTCCCGTAGTTATTTAAGGCACTCACAAGAGCGTAAAGCGGTGATCCGGTAAGACTGACAACAAAGGCAACATGTGTGCGGTCCAGTGGACTCAGGAAGAGACTATTGTTGCTATTGTGCTCAACATGTGGGGAGTGCGTATGGATACCATTGCTACATTATTGACTAAAAAGAGTGCCACTTTAAGGGGCACCTCATTGTCCGGTCCAACGCCTTACACGCGTACATCAGGTGCTGTTTCTAACCGATTCCAACGATACCGCGAGCATCACCCAAATCTCTGGCAACCCGATCTGGGTAAATGGAACAGTACTGCTGTTTGCGATTTTTTGTTACGGCCTGACCTCGATAAAGATCTGATTATTACACTGCTCTCTTGGACAGATAGTGATGTTGAGTTAATCAAAGAGGTATGTTTGCTAGATAATTCCCTGGAAAATAACTCTCAGAATTCTCAAATCTTGTTAGCGCGCCGAGGTTGATCACCTGCGACCGATTGAGTCATATAGCGAGCTCATTAAAACCCTTCAGGTCTGTGTTTAGGGCACTATTAGTGACACCTGAGACTTATTCCATTATAGGCCCTGGGAATTAGCCACCTAAGTGACACGTTATCCGTGGCACTGGGTTTAGGGGAAGGCTCTTCCTAGTTACACTCCGATATTTGTACTTGTGAATTTGGGTTACATTTTATTTGTATCTGTTGTTTATCGCATTATTGGGTTGGCAATTGTGGACAAACTCATTCATTATTTTAAACCAAAACCGCAAGAAATGAAATTATAGGGCCTGCATACCCTCCATTATCTCATAGCGTTGGGTATTATTGAATTTCTCCTCTGAAATAGATATATCTGTGATTTGCTAGAAGATTTCCGAGTTCCCATATCCCACCATGTGGGTGACGACAGCACCCTAGGCAGAAGGGGTGCTCTCTGGCTTTTCTGCTGAAGGGCACGTATGCGAGAAATGTGGCTCCATGGCATGTAGGTGGCAAAACGAAAGTGTTATCGTGTGTGCTGGGGCCGAAACCGTGGCACTTTCAGACAAAACATGGCCTAAATTTGAATTATTTATACAGTTTCCTTGGATTAGTCCACTGGAAATTGATTGACTCTCCATTGAAGATAAACCACCACCCCACCACCCCACCACCTGCCAAGGATTACGGATATCTATTATGTCAACCTTTCAATTTCCTTCGAGCCGTCTTCACGGCCTGGACGGGGTTGAAATATTTGGCGATAAAGCCCCACACTTGTACCAGAAAGTCAATGGAGAGTTGCCGACTGTAGTGCGCACAACTTCGCACAAGAACCTGGTTAATATAAAGGAGATTCACCATTCGGGGACCGAAGCCTTTCTGCTTTATGATGAATGGGGTATTTCACTGGGGAACATAGCCGCTGCTTTCCAACTTGGTGAAGTAGAGGTATCTGCAATATGCAAACAGGTAAATTGAAAACTGTCTATTACTACTTCAAAGATTTGACCAAGGTCTAGGTTCTCAAAGGATTGGAATATGTCCACAACGTCCTTGGAATCTACCACGGTTTGATAGATCCAAAGAATATACTTATAACAAAAAAAGGCGGTGTGAAAATAGGTATGATAGCAGATAGAACGATACGATGCAGACTAATATATGGAATCTAGCGAATATTGGGAATTCTATGATGCAAAAGCCAGATCCTCAGGGAATGGCTCGGGATATTCAGGCTGTACGGCGCCTTGCCCGCGACCTTTTGCACATAAGGGATGACATTCCTTGCCAGAATTTCTCATCTCATTTAGCGAAGATATTCACCGATGTTGACCAAGGAGACAGCCTGGAATACATTTTGAAAGTAGGTTTCACATCCGTGCTTCCATTGTGGCTCGTCTGACTGAGATAGCACCCGTTTCTTCAAATTAGCTCGGGAGGGCGGTGCTTGCGGACACTGAGAAAGATATATTTGGTCAAGGAGCTAGCGACGGGTGGTAATGTTACTGTGGACTCGATCCTCTGTAGTCTCTTAAAGTGATTTCTACAGTTCCCTGGCAGGTTTTACATACCCATTTACAAGTTCTCTGCTTGTATGTGTCCGATGCAACTCTGTATTTGATCTGCGAGTGTGACACTATCATAAGTATATATATTTGTCCAAGGCTTAGTTAGTCCACAATGGCAAGAGTTTAACATCTTAACATAAGTAACACTGCAGTATAGATCAAAGTCGGCTTTACCACTTCACAGACAGTTGTCTTGCCTGGATTTTTTTTGGAAGAACGCCAATGTACCTTAAACTTAGTTTAATTAGTTATTTGACAGGATCACTCATAGGTTCTTTAAATATATGTTGTTACACTTCTCCCACCAAGATATCATCTTTCTTGATGAAATCACAGCAAGTCTATTAAATTTTCATGATCCTTTACCTGAAACCATTGTTTGCCTTGGAAAATGGATTAAAATCGCCTCAGGTCCACGGGAATGCTTCGCTAAGGTCGCTCTTTGAATAATACAACTTAATCTATACTTATCCCATCCACCAAATAACACAGATGCAGCTCTAGCCTCTTTTTAAAGAGTTCTTTTTTATTTTGTTTGCCTAGTTATGTTAATTAAGCGGTTCGAGGATTGCACTATACGGGCTCCAGTTAAACGTATCTCTCCATTAACTATGTAAGGCTGACTCTCTGATGCAAGGCTCTAGAGGGATACGGAGAAGATACTCTGGCATACAAGTCCCAGTATCAATATTCAGCTAGGCTGAGGATCATACTGAAAAGCATCCGCTGTCTGAAGCCTGTTTGTTGTAAGCCTGTGCCTTCATAAACATGGCTGTCGCTCATTGAAATATTTCAACATGATTGACCATAGAGTCCCTAGCGAGTCGGATGTAAGGCTTAAGACAGTTCGGTCCAGGAGATAGCTTGAGGAAATCATCCTGCTAAGGTCAGCATTACCCTTGAACAAGACGCCATACGCCTACCTGAAGGAGCTCTTCGGCTGTCTTTGTCTTGGTTTGCTCAACAAAACGACGAAGCATGGGATCCCACGAGGTATGAGTTAAAGATTCCTCTTTGCGTAGAAATGTTCTTGGCTCCAAACACTCTATAATCATTTGACCGAGTGACCGAACATCTCCTTGTACAGACCGTTGGTCCACGTCTTTTTTTAACATACATCTTCCTATATCAGCTAATGCCTGTCAGTTAAAAACCAAGTTACTCTAAATAGAGATGAAGGTTTGATACAACATACCGATCTTTACAGCCCCATCCATTGACAGCAACACAGTTGAGGAATTAAGCTCACCGTGCGCCAACCGCAGCGTTTTGTGTATATACACCAAACCAGAGAGTATCTCCTGGCAAAAAGCTGCCACTTCGTAAGGTTTCAGCTGACCGAAAGGTGTTGCAAAGACCCCGGACAGACACACATCCATGAGCTCATAGAAGAGGAATAGGACACCGTCATGGTGAAAGGCTTTTTGAAGAGAGACAATGTTTCTGTGGGATGTTTTTCGAAGCCTTGACAGCCATTCCTTGCTCTCGGTTTGGAACTCTCTCACAAACAGTGCCGTGAAATTGTTGTCATTTGTATGGACCACAAAGCCTCGACCGCCCAAGTCCGACTTGAACAATCTCTGGAAATCCTGCCAGGGATCACCACATTTTTTTTCCAGGCCGTCCTCTCGATGGGAGCTAGATTTGTGAAGTTTATTTTCAGTCCTTCTGCGATCGGTATTTTGATCTATGGCATCTGATCCCCTTTTAGAAGCTAGCTTGTAAGCCGTATTGGTCCGAGGGAACGACGATTTCCGGTTCTCTAGTTTTTGAATCTCCATAGTGGCTTTCAATTTCCATTTAAGGAAAAGAGGGACCTAATAGCTAGAAGAACGCGGCTTCAGACGGGAACGTTCTGTATTGTGACAGTATGATGTCTAAGTTTCGGGTAAGAACAGAGTGTCCGGCTTATGAAATACCCTTGAATGATTGGATACCACATAAATAGATGTTAAGAAGACGGTATTTCTTGTCCTTCACTTATGCAAGGTTACAGCTTTCCTCAGTGCTGATATATTCTCATGGAAACTTGTTTTGGTATGGGCGACTCTATTGCATATGCGAAGCCACAGTTTGGAACCATGGCTCTGAGTGCACACGGAAACTGGTCTTGGCGTAGTGAAGTAAGTGCAAAGTCATGGTTCTAGAACTATAGGTATACATGCATGACAGGAAAGTGCTGATTTGTAACGTACTTATGGAAGGACATAACTAAAGCTATTATAGCCATGCATCAGCTAAGTAATGTAATATGTAATATTAATACACACGCAAACAATCTGCACATACAGGGCCACGGTTTGAGAGTATTCCCTATTCTGCGTAGGCGAAGTTTCTACACAGATAATATCAATGCACACGCAGAGCCACAGTTTTAGAATATTTACAGGCGTCCATGCGCAAAATTTTACGCAGGTAATATTAATGCACACGCAGAGCCACAGTTTTAGAATATTTACAGGCATCCATGCGCAAAGTTTTCACGCAGGTGATATTAATACACGCGCAAGTAATTCGCTCAAGCAGGGCTACGGTTTCAGAGTATTCACTATCCTGCGTGGGCGATGTTTCCGTGCAGGTAATGCTAACGCATGCGACAATACTTTGCTCGAGTCAGGCCACAGTTTAGACTATGTACAGATATGTGTGAGCTAAATTTCTACGCAGGTGACTTTAATACATACGCAAGTGATTCGCCCATGCAGGACTATGGTTCTGAGTATCCACAACTATGCGTGAGTGATTTTGACGCGGGCGCAAGTAATTTACTCACGCAGGGCCATGGTTTTTATCAATTGCTTTTTTACCTATGTAAAAGTGCAGCGCTAGCGAGTAATTTGCATGTGCAAAGCCACATTTATAAAGCAATCATTGTCCTGTCTGAGCTAAGCTTCAACACATGCTATGTTAATGCATGGTCATGTACTTTGCACACGCAATTCTACAATTCCTGACAGCACATAATAGTTGTGACTGTGTGTATTCAACCCCTCGCATATTAGCAAGGTGGTAGAGTACCACAGTAGTCTTGTCTAGGACCACGGCTTTTTTCCCTAGACTCGTGGCGCCGCGTAGGTGATCAACATTCATATGTCTTTCTACGTCTTTACTAATTAGAAAATTTGAAGCTTAATCGAACATGCCAAATTCAAGCCAAGACCAGTTTGATATTGCTCGCGTGTGTAATAATGCTCTTGTCGGTACTGTCATAGTGCGAACATTAGACAGTCTGGTATTTGAAGACGAGAATGTGTACGGCACCCGTGCACCAATTGCAGCAAATGTTCGGCGTTTGTTACATCGATTTCAGAAAGAGGGTTGCCGCCGCGAGGACCCCCTCAGTTGGATACCTGCTGAACTCTCTCCTCAAGAACTGCATCATCTGCTGTCGTTGAACTCTCTCTCGGCCTTTGATAAAGATGAGCCCAGAGAGATCAAATTGCCTGAAGATGCAAAGATCTGCTGCCTTCAAGGGCAGCATCGAGTATCTGCAGCTTGGGAATGGCTGGAGCCTAACGACCAATGGTGGGTTATCAATCTCTTTGACTCCTCTAAACTCACACCGGAGGCGCGAAGACGGCTACGTGAGGGTGATAGCAGTTCTCGCGAATACAGCGATGGAGAAATATACAGGAATATCCGGTACTACCAGAAACAAGGCGACCAAAAGTCAGCCAGTGGTTGGCTAGCAAGGTGGTCTGAAAGCAAATGCAATGACTTCCGACAGCTCTACAAGCCGAACAATATTCTATATCGGACTGTGAGAGATAAGCTAGACGATCTTCTTCCCTTTGCAGGATTGTGGCCCCAGTGGCAGATGGGAACACATTTAGTTCGGGAGCACTGTGTTGAGGTATGGAATCATTGAATAATCTGCGCGATATAAACTGAAACTCAGGAAGGAATTTGCTGAGAATCTCACATTCTTACATAACGCTTGGATACAGCTTACACTAGGGCACCCCGAGTGGTTGGACTCGAGCACCGTGGAGCATCTACAAGGTCGCTTTCCAAAGCTCTCTAAGTTAGACCGCAAATACGTGGACTACGCCTTTCAAGAGCATCTGGTCTTTTCTAGTATAACCGACACACGCACAAGATCACAGTTGCATCAGGCAGCAACGGAGTTTCCACGCATAATCCCATCACTTAAAACCTTCCTTGAGAATGCCAAATACCTGAAACTAATAATGCAAGTGTTGAAAAACTACCTCGGTCCGCTGTTTAAGGGCACTTTAAGGGAAGGTATGAGAAGCTGTTACGTCCATCCTGACAATGACCGGTGCCCTATCCAGGTTTCCGAGAATACATTTATAGATACCACAATTAAGAACAATGACCGTGGATTTTTGTCCGCATACCGCCAAGTCTGTCTCTTTGCAATGCGGCATTTTTTTGGTTTGACTAACTCTCGGCCTCTGGGCCTGCATCGATATCCTGGATCCCGACAACAGCCTGACACCCACGAACTGTGGAAACGCTTCAACGACTTGGCCAGCAAACTAGGGTTTGTGAGCCCCAAGCGTCGCGTAAATCCTGTCGCAAGAGCTCGAAAACGCCGCTTTGGCAGTTTCAATGTCCGTCAGCCCGCTGGCATCCGGATCGTCAAAGAGCCACCCGAGTTCCTAGCCATTCATCAGTTCTTAACGCGGCTCCGTCCAGCAGATCTCTTTGAGTACTCCGAGTCCGTTCTTTTGGAAGAGGCTTCCAGAATTTGCGAAACTCTGACAAGATTGAAACCTCGCTCACTGGTCGCACAACAGCCTACCCGCACGACCGACGAGGTCGCTGAATTCTCACTCCAAATGCGCTGTGGGATAACGGATGCAGAGTCCTTCTTCGCCGACCAACCATACCTGTTTCTGAACAATATCTATGAGTCGAGGGACGAAACTCCTCGTGAAAATCTGACAGGTTTTGCTATTAAGCAGGACATGTTTATCGCATTCTTCGGTGATGGTACGGAAGATCACGATCAGGACATGGGCCGATCCAGTTGGAGGGTAGATGCCACAGTCGATACCCGGGAAAACATGGCTGCAGAAGATACATCAGACCCAATGTTGCTTTCAACTGCCTTAGTACCCCATGATAGGTCGCTCAATCTGCCCGCGCAGGATATGACCGTCGATGTCGATATGCATCTCAGCACGTTGGATAGCCAATTATCTATGGTCCCCACGCCCACGCCCCTCCTCAATGGCGTCATCGATAATTTCCCGCAACCAAGCACACCAAGCATGTCCTTAATACAGGCAGCTCCTGGGGTCTCAACCGACGTACTAGGCCCTGGTCACGAACTGTTGGCTTTGCAGGGAAACTCGCATTCGCAGGTTGGGCACATCAACAACCAACGGCGAGAATATTGCACCTTTACGGTTAACCTCTCACCTGGTGCTTTTCTCGCCCAGTTTAACGCACAAGTGAAAGCATCACCTGGATACCTCATATTTTACAATGTGGAAAAGAGAGAGATAGCCTGCCTTCTTCGTTCTTCGGGCCAACTGCAGGAACTATTGGTCAGTTTCGGAAATGTTCAATGGTATGCCAGACCCCAGCGCACAGGAGACTCTTTCGTCTTGGTTCCATTACCTATACCTCAAATCCCTGTCATGTTGGGACAGGATGTGGTTATTTTTTTCTCTACCAGACTCGACTTCCGCAATAACTTGCTTATGCCCGATGCAACCCAATTACCCAATGAGGCGGTCAGCATGCCGGCGTTCAACGAACAAATGCAGAATTGGCATATGGCCCCAGGAGAGATTGATATTGAGTAATGAACTTATCAATTCCGTGCCCGGGGCTTCGTTTCCTCGGCCTATATTCCTCTTTCGGATTTATAAGTCGATTTCAAAAATCATGTATTTACGAAGTGTACCAGTGACTAGAGATATGCGTCCAAATTTCTGAATACTATGACCAAATTAAACACCACATTTGTAGATAAATATTGCTCTATCTGTGGTCTTTTTTCCCAGCCTACACATTGGCCGGTCCTATTGGCCGAAAATAGACTTTATTAGAGAGCCACGATTGCGTGTAAGTCGAAACCGTGGTCGTTTGAGAACATAAATCAAGCCACCTCTCCCAGAACTCTGGAGCCCATCACACCTAGCCTTTCTCAAGCATGGATGTTCTGATGATTTATGTCTACATTGCCGCCAGTTTGGTGGCTTTCCTGCTCGTCCAAAGGTACCTAGTTCGGGGTGTCCGATATGTCATCAATCCTCGTCTGATTTACTTGTTTTCAAAACACCTGATTCTACCATACATATTCCGGCGGCGACGATTCTGGGGCCCGATCACTCGATTCGATGCTATCACTCGCACGATTTACTTTGCTGGAACTTTTGCATGCAACATAGTAGGAGTATCTGGCCTGTCAGCCGCTAGATCAAGGGCAGCTAGATTAGCTGTCTTGCACTTCATTCCACTTCTTGCCGTACCCCAGTTCAGCCTCGGAGCTGGGATAATTGGAATTTCTTTGTCAACGTATCAACACCTCCATCGCCTTTTAGGAGTAATGGCTACTATTCAATCTGTCATCCATGTTGCATTCTCCCTAAAAACCCAGCGATTTGATTTGCACAGTGCTTATCAACGGGGAGGCTTTATTGTCAGTACCCACACTCTGACTGTCCAATTGAAAACGTATTGATTGCCACGCAGGCAGGTGTTGCCATTCTGATTCTATCCTTAACAGTGCTCCCTTGGATGCGTCGTTGGTGCTACGAGCTGTTCACGAAATTGCACTGCCTCCTGAGTCTTTTCGTGGTGGTCACTGCATGGCTACATTTGAAACAGCGATTCGGTTTTGACGGAATTTGCCTGATTATCTCCGTTGGACTGTTCTTGCTGAATTCTGTCATCTGTGTGCTCTGTCAGACGTTCCGTAATGTCGTGGCTGGCCAACAGTTCGCAGTGTCTGATGTTATCAAACACAAGGATGCGGTTGAGCTAACTTTTCGGCCTCCTCGTCCTTGGAGAGCGCGTGCGGGTCAGTACGTTTATATCACAGCCCCAGGTCTTCGACCGCTATCCTTCGCTGAATCACATCCTTTTACTGTCATTTGGTGGGAATGTGACCCAGATGGTAAAGTCATCAATATATCTCTCCTTGCAAAAGCCGAAACAGGGTTCAGTAGGGCTTTGTATACTAGCCCTTACAGCCGCCTGCGCATCTTAATAGACGGTCCATACGGCGAGTCTTTGAATATACAGGGTTACACTTCTGTCGTCGCGGTTGCCACCGGAATTGGGATCGCCGGGCAGCTACCCTATGTCAAAGAATTTGTCGAAAGAAGACTCCCTCAAACTACCGGCCGACAGGCATCTCACAACAAAAGAATCTTACTGATATGGAGGCTTCAAGAAGAATGTGAGTATTCATCCTACATGAGAACTAAGCTTACCCCTTTAAGATCATGAGGACTGGATTGTTGAATGGATGGACAAACTCCTAGATGAAGATGAGAAGTCGATGGTAGGGAGAGTTCTTCGCTATTCTGGTATTGGCTAACTCCAGGTTAGGCTTTGAGTTATTCCCTCTATATCATGAACAAATCACAGAAGGAATACCAAGAAGGGGAGAAGGTTCGCATTTCTCGCCGTGGGACGGTATTCTACGGAAAACCAGATCTTGAGGGAATTATACATAGAGAATTAGCTATGTCTAATGGAAGAATGCTTCTGACTGGTATGATCGCTACTGAGTCCGTGGATTCTAGTTAACGCCTGGCAGTTTCCGCTGATCCGGATACCCGGGACGAAATCAGACGCTACGTTATAGATTCAGACGGAATCGATTTACATGAAGCCGATTACCAGCCACATGGTGAGAAAGGAGGATTTTGGGCACTACAGAAGCCTGTGAATCATTTTGGAATTGCGTAGTAACGCCCAGTGGAGCGTCTTAAGATGAGGTGCAAAGTGACAAGGCCTCCGTACTGGCAGGGGCAATCTTTAGGCATCATTGATATTGAACAGATAGTTAAGCAAATTAAGAAATTGTTTACCGCTAGTCTGCTTTCCTAACTTCTGGGCTCACCTCCTGCTGTTCATCTTTCGTTGCTAACAAAGGAAACAAAACACGAATACCTTCTCAAGGAACCACAACAGGATCAGATAGCATTCAGTCAGCCGTAAGAAGAGTTTTCTCTCAAACAAGTTCTAACACAAGTAGCTTTCTAGTCTCCGAGGGAAGGATTCGTTAGCTCTCATAGTAAGTTTTCCAAAAGTATCTGCACCAGTTGGGGGGCCTCATGCTCCTTCGGCAAGGTCATCAAGGGTTCCTAGAGTAAAAACATGTTGGTCTCAAGGCTGCCTGGTCAAGGGGGGCGAGTATACCTCATGCCACTGTACTGATTGGTTATACACAATGCCCTTTTCGCCTTCTAAAACAGGATATGCCACAGGACTATAGTATTCAAAGGCTAGATCTCTGCCAAGAAACATTCATTGGATATCAAGAACAGATGACAATGGCAAGAAGACGAGGCTAAGTCTCTCCGGGGGACTCACATGCGTCGGTTTCCTCGCATGATAGTCTCTCAGCCCCAGACCTTTTGATAGAGTTCTAATTATATTTCTCAAGGCACACTCCCGCCTCCTTATCGACAGCAATGCCTCATAGTATGCAGCTTGGATAGCATGTGAGGTCAGTCAATTGGCCGTCAAGAATAGCGTCCTACGTCGAGTGATTCGGATCTAACAGGGATCCTCTATTGAATGATAAAATTAGACATTCGAATGTAACCTTGAGTGGTTGCCTTGGACAGAGAATAGGTATATAATACTGGCTGAGATGCCCAGTATTTGAAAAGACCATTCGAATCAAAAACTTCTCGTGAACTCCTCTCTCCTCGCCATGTCAAACTCCCCTCTCCTCGCCATGTCATACTCCTACGACATCTGGTATGCTGAGACGGAGTTGCCACATGAACAGTCTAGATTTCATGCTCCTATTTTCTTGGACTCTCCTGATCTCCCTCGTGTCAATGGTCAAAACGAACAGCGGGAGATAAGAGGACTATCGGGTCGCGTACCTGTTCCTAGAGGAAGCATTGGTGAGACTCCGAACTACCTTGAATTTTATTGCCTTGCTAATCTTGTTTAAGGAAATCCAATTGATGTTGACGCGGAAAATTCAGACAGCAGCGGTGACGTTTACCGGAGTGATTCAATCGGTATGTTGTAACATGGACATCAATCCTGAGTTTTTCCTTACATCACTACAGACAAACCCATTATTCTTGATGGCAGTGGAGCAAATGATTCCCCTCCATTTGATCTCACAGGATCCCCCGGTTCTTCTATTGCTGGCAGTCTTCCAAGTGATGTTGACGTTCGCCCGGGTGATACAATCGGTATGTTGTAACATGGACATCAATCCTGAGTTTTTCCTTACATCACTACAGACAAGCCCATTATTCTTGATTGCAGTGGAGCAAATGATTCCTCTACATTTGATCTCACAAGATCCCCCGGTTCTTCTATTGCTGGCAGTATTCCAATTGCTTTGGCTCATGATGACAGTACCAATGATGGTAAGGGATACGCATATCTATCAATACACGATTACTAAAGTCATACAGATAATTCTCTTGCAGAGTATTACGAATGTAAGATTTGCTATTGCAAAAAAGTCGACCTGGTCCTAGGCTGCGGTCACCCCTATTGCTACGACTGTTTCAAAAGATTCTTTCATCAGTTTGCTCTTGAGACAGCCAGACGTGACAGAAGAGCTCCCCGTGAACTTCTAGAAACCCAGAGACTTAAGCCTTACTGTCCCTTCTGTCAGAGCACAATTGCCGGTCACTATGCTGGGTCTGGCGTCCTGCATCCCCTGGATGGTTGTTTGGTTTCCCTTGACTGCCCAAATTCGCACCAGGACTGTTTTCTTAAGGGCTATATGGTACAGGGCATCAGAATAAAGCCTCTGTAAGCTATCTTAACTATTCCCGAGCGATCTAGTTCCAGTTGAAATTTCATCAGTTCATAAATTTTTGATGCTAAGGGAGTAATTCACCGTTCTCAGCATCCAATCTATAGGTAATATCATCCAATCAATTGCCTTCACTAAGTATAAGTAGTACACTATTAATAGCAGCCACCCATATTGGATGCTATATTTAGTTGACAGTACCCTAAGCGCTCGGCCTGCTCTATACTTTATAAGATGACCCGTGACTCTACTACTTGACAGCTTTCTCTTTTTCCTATTCATCTTCACAAAAACCCATCAAAATGTCTGATATCCCAGGACTCATACTCACTTCCGGCCAAACTCGGGTTCAAGAGGTAATATGAACTACAAGAATTCTAACTAAAGCTAATGGTGGAGCAGGCCGACCTGATTCCGAATACATTCAGACATCCAAGCAACATGTCAACACCTGAAATATCCTCCCTCTTCCGCCGTAGTCATATAGATTACCTCCGACAAATCAACGGCAACACCATTCGGAGCATGCAGAGCGAACTAGAACACCAACGTCAAGTTATCAGTGGGCTTGCTGCTGTCAGAGACAGGCTTGTTCAAAAGCTTGAACAAGAAAGCGCATACCGTGCTATGGCTGACCAAGCGCTGGCTATGGAGCGAAATTCGAACCAAGACATGGCTACAACCATCGCCAATTTACGTCAAGAGATCTTGTTATCTCGAAACGCCTTCGTTGCCTCCAGAAAGTGCCTCGAATCGGAGCAAAAGCGACTACATGATATGGCACTAGAGCTTGATTATGTCCGAAGAAAGTTTTATCTTGTGGATAGTCTTGTTGATACGATGCTTCTCGAAGAGGATAGTAAGCTCGATTTTGGAGACCGCTCCCGACAAATCACAGATGTAATTCTTGACCTGGAATCTCGAATGGAAGGCAAGTATCGAGCACTTATGAACGAAAAAGATGCCCGCATTGCTATATTGGAAAGTAGTCGATCTTTTCCCGTCGAAAGCGAATCACGTTTGTTGGACACTCAGCGTGAGCAAGATTGATTCAGGCAGACAATATTGAAGGATCAGATTTGACTAGTTTTTGCCTTTATTCTTTTATTCTTTTTGGGGTATTCTATCTGTTGATATATTAGACTTGGTTTCAAAGCCTAGCAGCTGTTCGCTGTTTTTGGCTTAGCTCGGGTTACTTAAAAAGGCAAAGTACGATAGATCAACAATATTAAGGTTTGCCGTTGATAATCCGCGATGGTTAGTAACTATGACAGAAAGTTATTATTTAAACATAAAGAGTGCCAGTCGTCTAAGTATTTGTTGCAAAACACGGCAATGCATTTTACCACTATGAATCATAGATTCCTCACGCTGTATCTGGCCTCTCTGTCAGATGTAATCGGACTGGGTTCTCTAACAGTGGTATATCTTCTACAAACCATAGAGATACTTTAAGCTAACTATTTGAAGAAAAGCATCTACTGTCATTCAAACGAACACACTGTTAACATGCAAGACATTGTATCCCCAATAGCCTATCTCGAGAAATCCCCTTTTACCTGGAACTACAAAAAGGGTTGTTCAAACGTTGCGAGCTGGAAAGGCGCAGGGATTTTCTTATGCCATGAAGTAATGTTGTCGCTGCATTTTTTGGTTGAATTAGTTAACTAATCTTGTATAGGGATCAACTGCCTTGGTAGTTTCTTCACTGGAAATAGCCAGGTTAGCTCTGCAAGGCAAATGTGCATGTGGGATGTCAAACGCTCAAGTAGAGGTGTTAACACAGCAAAATATCACAGTGCTACTATCAAAGCCAGCCCAAAAATTGCAGAGACTTGCTTGAGCTTGCCATGGGATGTATATCTATGCAAGTATCAAATAACCACTTCCTTTATTAGTACAGAAGAGCATGTGTTAGACATAAGGTGTCGTCACTCGGTTTACTATCTGCCCGTTAAGTGTTGGCTCCTAGCCTTAATTTACAGTGTGAAATATAGACTTCGTAGCCTTACGTTGACTGCATTTTCTTCTTTTTATTGTGCTTGCTTAGCTCCTTCTCCACGCATTCAGAAATCTCCCAGAGGTCCTTCTCCCGGCCCGACTCCTGCATATATGCCAGCGTTTTGAATGCCCGGTTCCAATTTCCCGTCCCGTGTTTTATGCAAACGTTTGATACCGTCTTCTTCTTCGAACCTTTCTGCAAGCTTCAAACGTAGTTGAAGCAACAATTGTTGAAGTTTGGCCTGACTCAAACACTGTTTACCAGAATTGGTTGGGCATATAATAATCATTTGCGGGCCGTGTATGGATACTTCGACAGGGCCCCTTGCATTTTCTTTGATAAAAATGATGATATCAGGCCCAACGCATGTGTTCCAAGAATCTGGTAAGGCGCTTTGATGAATGTTCTGACAAGGACCAGGTCCAAAAATCGCTTTTGTTGTAGTAAGCTGGTACTGACCCACAATGGCGACAGGAACAGCTGGTATGTGATATGGGGAATCGGGTATAGACTTGAAAGTCCCAAAATTGATATAATTTACCATATCATCAGAAACCCCCTGCCACATTTCAATCGCATCATGGTAAGCCTTTCGTCGATCTTCATCCTGTAAGTCCTTGTATACAGGGAGAGCTGGCGTTTGGAAATTTTTAGCCCAATACGGACGGTTTAAGCCAGAGAAGACATAATGTATCGTGTCCTGTACTAAGGCACAGTTTAAGCCTTCAACCGCAATAATAACACCATGAGAGATGGGTAAGAGCTTTGGCGGTACTAAAGGATATGATACTTTGGCAAGAGCCGAAATCTCATCAAAAAGTGAATTTGGACTTGATTCAAGCTGTCCCTGGTATGTTGAATTTTCCATTAAGTTCGTCTGGCTAAAAATTAGAAGATGCAAATGATACGAATATTTATAGTGAAATACCAATGCAATGCAATACCAATAGATCTTCTCGTCATTCGGAAGGTATTCCCATCTCTGTACCAGTATCTTTTCCCTGTCGACTGAGTTGGCCCCGGGACTTTCTCTTTCGATATATCCACGAGAGGCAATAGAGAAAAGCATATAGGCTAAAATACATTCTTGTAAGTCATAATAGAAGCATATTACAAAGTTAGACATACCACTTGTACACTTCTGAGATCCATGAGCAGAGGACATTCTGGAACAGAAGTTAGGAAGATTAAGCAGTATGAGAATAGATTTCAGATATAGATGTAGACAACTTGATCATCTTATTTAACACGGAGGCGAAGCCCCCTTTAAATACACATCTAAGTGCCAAGAAAGGTACTAACAGTGGGCCAGCGTTCTATTTCGGGGTTGATGCTAGCTACATTTTCTGCGCTTGATCGTAAAACTTTTGAGATATCTTGAAGGTACAAACAATCGGGCTACCGGTCGTTTTCATGAAGAATTGCCATATTATTTACTAAGCCAATTACTTAACACATAAGACTGACTCACGCAGCTGGCTTGACGTTATAAAATGAACAAGTGCTCTCTTAAATAATCCAAATAGGTTCCAAATACTGTAGAAGCATTAGTTGGTCCTTCCCACTTAAGCTTGCCATGAAATGTAGCCATGCTCAGTCTGACTGAGTCTTGATTATCTGGTTTAATAACTTATTAATCAAGACTTCTTCTGTGGGGGCTTTCTTAATATAGCCTTGTCTTTCATAGTTCCAGAGTACACCCCAGCTTTAGCGTGTTAGAATAAAAGCTATTTTCCTCGTATAATCGCACTTACACCCAATTTGTACAAGTACACTTTTCTTGTACCATAAGATGCTCAGGAAGCCAGAGAGAACCTTTTAGCTCTTCAATTCCTGGACATTTATCTGTGATGACAAGCTCAATAACATCCAGAACTTTATCGGGTCTGTCCTTAATCCACTGAAGCTTGTTCTGCTCAAGGCTTGCACCGGAAAATGTGGAAGATTGACTAAAGGTGATAAGCCAATGTCCCATACAGGTTTCGGTTGAAATAAGTTGGGCAACAATAGCCAGCTTGGAGGACATATTAAGAGGAATTCAGGTTAGAGAAACGTAGTAATGGTAAAGTATAGTCCAATTTGTTGGCAGGGAACTGGATTCGGATCCCTTTTTATACTACGCCGAGTTGATTCTTGTATTTTCAAACACAATTGATATACTCGATTAGTGTGGCTGTACAAAAGTCCCAATCTCTTAGGGGTAGAATCCTCCAGGTTTACTCGTGGAGATATAGGTGGAGCGGTATTACTGATTAGGCAATTAATAAAGATGTAACTATAACTCATATATCAGGCTATACGTAGTCTTTTTCGCTCGTGTGGATTTTCATCTGAAAGCTTCCTGGGTAGTCTGCTCCGCCTTTTTAACAGTGGACGATCCAGTTTCGAACAATGAAAGTCAATAATCAGAACCCGTTGTAGCTCCGTATTCCACAGAAAGTTCTCCGGGCGAAGGTCCTGATGTGATACTCCCAATGAGCGAATCTTCTTTATAGACTTCGAGATAGACCTAGAGATGTCAGGGCTTGTTGCTTCGTTTTTGCTGATTGGCTTTCCTGCCCACGCCATAAGTAGCATGTGTCGAATCTCTCCAGCTCCACTCAAGAAGTAGATTTTAGCCAGGTCGATCGCTCCGAGAAACACCGGAACTACCAAACCCTGAAGTCGCGAGAGGATACGATAGATATCTGCTTCGCGGGATACCTCTTTCCAGAGATAAGAAGTAGTTCCTTTACCTACAACAGTATAGCCATATACTGCACAGGTAATTTTGAACGGCGCCCCAGATGCTCCACAGCCTCCCATAGGTGTACAATCATCGATATCCTCATCCAGCTGCTGTTTAATCCGTTGAACCAATGTCTCGGCGTTGATGAGGTGCCGATTGCCGTTTCTCCCCTTCCGGTGGAGTGTTACATTCGGGCAGTATTCGTCTAGTAAACTCCCCTGTTGCAGACCGAGTAGACACCGCTGAGTACAGAACTGCGCCTGATAATGCTTTTGATCGCTAGGGGCATGTCCAGAGCCTGTCTGGCGTCCCGGTCGTTGCACAGATGGGGATAACGGAGACGAGATGACTCGACTGAAACGACGCTTCTGCCCCGTGGGCGCTGGATCCTCATCAGACTCTGAAGAGTGGTTGCGAAGGATTGAATCCGAAGGTGCGCACCGAGTTTGAGATCGAGTTGGCGGTCGACGTCCCGCTGTAGGAGATTCAGGAGGGGACGACGGCACAAACACTGAAACGGAACCCTCAGAACTTGTATATACTGATGGAGTATATTGTGCATCTGGAGGGATCTTTCGCAGTTCTGCATCTGGGATTCCAGAACGTTCATGATCAAAACTTGTCTTCCATTCTGGAAGCTGTTTCAGCGCATTATTTCGCCAATTATTGTTACGCAATCTCGAACTAAAGCTCATGAGACAGAGACACAGTACACGGGCAATACTTGTTACCGGTTGCCGAAAGCTCTGATCATTCTCAGAGTCCACGTCCATGTTGGGTTCGCAGAGATGGTAGTATAACGTAGTCGGGTCATCGTAAGGGACTCGCAGCAGAACTATCGCCAATCCATTCGTCAAATAGGAGTATTCAAGCCCTTCCTGAATCATCACATAGAACTCTTGGACTAGTGCCGAGCCCGTAAGCCGGGCTGCATTGTATCTCAGTTTCTCAGGTTCTTGCGTAGGGATAGAATCGGGCGCTACCACCTCTTTCCAGAAATCCATCGGTCGCAATCCGGAGCGAATATTTTCGACGTTTAGCTTATGAGGTGGTTTATATTCAACTGTTGTAAGGATAGTTTCTGAAGTGCCATAGCGTATGCAAAATTGATCCGGTCTTGAACGCCGCGAGGTTGACAATTCTCTCGGTTGTAATGGGTCAACTTGGGGAGGATCAAGAGCGTTTGCGTGATTATCAAAACGGATTCCGTCACTCAAGTGGAACTCGTCTCGAGCGGCAGGTTTCTTGCAGAGCTGTGCAATAATGTCACGAACATGATTTTCCACACCAAATCGTTCATAGCTCTCCAAATCTTGTTCACTGCTTATAGGCCTCCTGAGTTCTTTCCCAAAACCCTCTAGCACGTGGCGTGAAAGGAATAACTGCTCGGCATCCTGCCCTGGTGGCTCTAAATAATTGCAAACAGAGCGGTAAATTTCTTGCTGTCTGGTTTCACAATCAGTCCACGGGCGGAGTTGTAGCGGGCAACGTTTACCAGTGGGCGCTGGTATCTTTCCTGTAGTAGAGCGGGACGGATCTTCAGCTCTCAATGGTCGCGAGAACAAGTCGTGGCAGTGTCGAATGAGTTCACCAAACGTTGTTTGTCGAGTTTTTTCTCTTTCGTGATCCCTCTCTGCCTCCGCTTGTTTCCTCAGCTCTGCTTCGCGTTTTCGCTCTTCCTCCGCTCTTAAGAAGAGCGCTTCGTAATCCGGGGAGTTGCTATCAGCCATCGGGTTTGTAGCAGGGCCAGAAATATTCTTAGACCCACCCAGGTTGTGTGGATTTATGTGGGTATGAATATCAGGAGGGGAGATGGTCGCCCTTGTGTTACAAGCTACTTTCGGAGACCGGACAAAGGATCTTCCCGCCGTTGGGCGGGGTGGGTCAACAACCACCCACCTCTGCCAACATGATCTTCCCTATGTTTCTACCGCGTTCCAGTTAGCATTCTTTGAGCATCAATTTAAGTCGTTTATTCGTCAATTTCATTGCCCTACGATGGACCCAGTGGACGATCTCAGTAGCATCATCCTGAATAGGCGTTTTTGAGGCCTTTGTAGGGAATAGGGATCGGGATACTAAGGGAATCATAATGTGTAACCGCGCAGGCTGTAGAGCTGATATTTTCAAGCATCTCATATTTTTTGGAAATATTTAAATATACAAAAACTCAATTCTGTACAGTACGGGTAATACGTTCAACCCAAAATATATCTTTTCATATAAGGAAAGAATCAAGAAAGCATGTTAGATAGAACACTAGGCACACAACAACAAAAGCAAAGTACTTTGGTATCAGGGAATTTACCGCCCCCGATATTCAAGTAAAAGACTTTCGCGCCGCATTCCCGGATCAACCTGGCCCCCCAAAGCGTTTGAAGGAATGGCTACAAAGTTGGCAGTTAGGACATGGTCTTGAAGACACACCAGATGATGACTTAGCACAGTAGTATGACGTAACTAGTCCACGAGCGAGCGGGCTACACAACCGAATTGACTACACAGCACGCGTTACCTACGCGCTTCAATTGAAGCTATTCGCATACCGACTCTCCTTAGCGCGCGTCCATTATCATAATCATTAATTGAAATCACCCAGTTCTTCTACCAGTTTAAGTGCACATACCCTGGGTGATGAAGCAAGGGGCATGCAGTTGAGCCCGCGTAAGGGTTTAATGCGGCAGTATAAGGCGCTGGATTTTGCCTAAATGCCTGGCAAGCTATGTATTAAATCACAAGGCCTAAATCCCCAAAGGGAATTATATTGCATATTTTATTTGAGAAGTAGGATAAGAAATAGTACTGTAAGATTAGAGGTGTAAATGGCTCATAATTGCCTGTTGTTGATGATACCCGCGTAATCTTAGACATGGATGAACGGTAAGCAAAAAAGTAATTTAGAAAAGAAAAAGAAAAGACTATAGATTGTTGTCATTCTATGTTGAATAGACGACTTTGACATTCAAGATTGACCAGGTGTCCAACTTCTTGACTCCTTAGGTGTCTTCTTTAACTTGCAACAACTTCTTGTCGTGATAATAATAACTCCCAACTCTCTTCCACTGCGATTTGGGAAGGTCAACCCCTTTGTATGTGTAGCTTGTCCATCCCGCCGGTACGCGTCCGATATAGTCGTATTTTGGAGCAGCGGGTTTTGACGCAGTGTTAGAGACTTTAGAAGGCTGGCTTTGAGTGTTGCTTGTTGAACTGCTCATGCTAGTGGAAAGGTCATCGACTTTGGCCTTACCCTTCCCACTGATTCCTTGCGAAACCCCAGGGGTAGCTGTAGTCCCTTGTAAATGGCCACGAAATTTGTCGCCATCGTGGTAGAATGTGTTTTCATTGTTCGGATCCATAGCCCATTGGTCTTGACTCTTCAACGTCGCCCGACCATCCAACATAAAATGGTAAAACTTCCCTTTTCCTGAAAGTTCACCAACATCTCTATATTCGGATCGCTTTGCAGCTGCAGAGACTGACTCCTTTGGTCCTTGGCCAGGTTTTCGAAGATGTTGTGGTAGCTCCATAGTCTTGCCGCTGGTTGGAGTTGGCGGTCTCAGCGCCCCGGGAACTCGATGAATTTGTTGAGGTAAAGTATGTGTGGGAAGCTCTTTCGAGCGGGCATTTGGGTCTTTTTCTTTGATTTTAACCCATTCATCTAGTGGTTCCCGTTGTCCATCTTCCAAAGACCAACCCGACCGTGCTCCAGCAGCAAGTTGAAAGTAGTACAGCATGCACTCTCGAACCGAGACAGTTATGTTTGATGCACTAATCTTGGATTTGGTCGTGTGGTGTATCGCATCCGAAAAGAAGAGAATCCACTCATCATCAATTCTCGCTCGACGGACGAACACTGTCCATGTGTAGTTGGTCATAAAACCAAGCTGTAATTTTGCCGCCCACATGTCACGGGATAGTTGTCCTATATCTAGAGTGAGTATTATTGCAATCGAATTATCAGCTTTGCTTGACGGCACTTACCCAAAAACCGACGCAAGTTCTGCTCCTGGGTTTCGTCTCCAATACGTGCTCCTTTCACGTACGGATCCGGGGTTGTGCCCCATGGGTGCTTAGCTTCTCCCAGAGCACGGGGGCTTTTGGTCCCAACGTCTATCAAAACATAGTCTGGTATAGATGACTTGTCCTTTTCTTTGTCCTTCTTTTCTTCCGTTGAAGGTATTGCGGACGTGATCCTTGGCCATTCTAGTTTCCAACCGGCCACGGTCCAGTCACCAGAGCTGACACCATAACCCAAGTGTTCAGCAATACCACTTATGGGATTCAGTACATTTGCAATGTATCTGCTGCTTGTTGAGATTTCAGCACCACAGCGGAAGTGTTCCGTGCAGTTTAAGTCTTGTGGACACAGTCGGGCCGATACTGGACGGGTATCCCATTCGGTTTCTTGGAATGATTCGCGAACCTTCTCTAGAAAGTTATCCCAGTAACGAAGCCGACCCACAAAGGATATCTCGTGCAGTCCAGTACCAGAGGAATGATTTCGAGGTAATTCCGCATACTTAGGATACGAATCCATCGTTATATCACGAGCCGTAAGTAGCTCGACGGTTCCATCCTTGGGGTCTGGGGTAGCGGAGATTTTGGAACGTTCCATGGCAGATTCTTGAAGTCGAGGCAGAATAAGAAGCAGAGTGAAGCAGCAAAATCACCTTGGGGATGAGCTGTAGAGGGTTTTATATCTTATGAGTTATTTTAGGCCTTGTACTATATCTCCTTCCTTTACTCTCTATGGTCTGACTGAATCGGATAACCGCTGATCTTCTCCAGCTAAACCTTAGATATTTTGATCAAATATCTGAAGTAATTTATATATCTCGCTTGCTATTTTGAGTAATCCTTTAGTACATTGCGGTTGAAATTACCGATTTTGCAAAGTCTCGATCACTGTGGACACGCATGCCAGGCTCTGTTGGTATGTGGATTGTTACCGATAACAGTATTACTGTTGCTAAAATGTCGGCTGCTGTTTTTTTCTTTAATACAATGTACTGGGCGAGATATTATTAACTTAATTTTCTATCAAATGGTTATGATAAACTCAATCGCTTTGTGGTAATCACTTTTTGGTGGTAGTGCGTGGTATTACTCGACACATATTATACATTAAATGAGCAGAGTAGAATCGAAGAATGGAATAGAATTACTATTAGTTTAGCTTATATCTCTTCTGTGTTGAAGAAATGCCACTACTCTTTCCAAGCTGTCAAAAGTCCAACCATCCTCCCGCTGTTCTGGCATCATTGGATCATCGACTAGCTGTGCGTCTCCAGAGTTCAACTCCCATAAGGAAAGCTCAACCACCGGATCTAGGGTGATACGTTTCTGTATAGATAATTCCATCTTCCAAGCATCTTCTAGGTCTATTATAAAACTATTCCTCAATTAGTAACAGCTTACATTGGTAATTGATACACGTACCATCTTTGTGAGGTTTTGTCCCAGACGACATTTGATCGACGAGGGTCGCCGTGATAAAATCCTTGGTTGCGGAACTCCCTATAGCCCCATTCATCGGAAAATTAGAGAAGGAAAATGGCGAACATGAATAAAGGGCATAAACAGCGCGCATACCATAATGCTTTAATGAATGCAATTCTCACGCTGTCCCGCTCTTCCAGTGAGAGACTTCCAAAGTTTTGTAGATCCTGTCCATGAACCTTTTCCATCACAATAAACACAATGTAGCCGCCAGGGTAATACATTTGGTCATTCTGCTTGTAGGTAAAATATTCGAGCAGTCTTGGAGTCGAACTGCATCCGGCTTCCGTTAATTCTTGAAGATTTTGAATTTCACGCCAAGCCTCGTTACTGAGCATTCGGATGTCGGAATCCCATGGTGTTAGTCTATATTTTTGATTAGCTCTCAGGCTGTAATCACAAAGGGAAGGAGCGATATACTGTATTTTGATTTTAATTATCGCTTCAGTCGCTTCTCTATCTGGAGTGGGCTCTTCAACAACCTCGGTTGCTATACAAGTCCCTGTGATCTCTTCCATACTGCCATTGGTTTCAGAGTGAGTCCGAGTTTTACATGTCGATATATCGCCTAGAGCCCACGACGTAGATGATGATGGGGACGATATTAGCCCTCCAGCCAGAAATCCTAAGGTTTTATCGTATACAGAAGACATGGTTGATTGGTAAAAAAGATAGAGAATGAATTGTTTGCCACAAGAAGAGCGCAAGAACAAAAGAAGTGATCACACTCGGTCGGCAGTTCCTGAAGCTTTGCGGGAGCGGTGTAACAGACACTAAGCTGAAATTGTTACTGCTGCAATACCAGAAGCCGTTCGCCTTCTTTTGGGCTGGAAATGAAATGCCTTATATGTCTGACAGGAAGTTGAGGAGTTCAGAAGCTACCGTTTACGATAGTCTGAAAAGGGAGTTGCCTGATATGAGCTGATGTAAATTAGTGTGTTATGAGCCACGAAGAATACGTGTCTAGGTCATGGGAACCGTGTTACCATGCATTTTCTCTGATTAACACGTCCCATAACTAAAAGAAGCGACCGCAGGAGAATTAGAAAAAGGAAAACGGAAAGGGGTAGAGAGTATGTTATGCTGCTGGCAAATCAAGCTAGTGCCCGAAATAGAAAATCTCGGGCAGTCATGATGATTATCACGTGAACGAGAACAAAACCTGAGATTTAGCCCCGCCAAAACCCCTCAGCCAGAAATATTTCCCAAGTCCCAGGCCAAAACCAACAAACCATGCATTAAAGGTAAGTTAAATATTAATTAACGTACTATCTGTTCTTTCTAATTTTATTCTGATCATATTAGGACTTCCATCATATTACCATTGCCTCTCGGGATGACTGACGCTCTGAGTGAAGTTCACAACCTATCCTCTACTGAAGAGGACCTGGTCAGCTCTATAAAAGAAATACTTAATGAGAATGCGGGCAATTCCACACAATTTCCCTGGGGCCACCTGTACGGCAACGAGAAGCTTAAACCTGTCACGGAAAAGTTGAAGGCCGAGATATCAAAGAGGCACACAGTGAGTTGGAAAAGTATTATTTATTATGTGGACTTACTGACATGGGAAGGTCGGTGGTATTGCAGTTTCCAAATTTACCCAGGGCGTGAGGATGCACAAGGACACAATGATTATCGCACTCGAACCGTCGATCTTAACAACGAAGACCGGTACATCTGTTTCACTGAATAAGGGTTCATATGTTTATATATTCGGAGATCCGTCGCTTTCTTCAACCAACGGGCGAGATTACGTGGATGCTGTAGTGGTTGTTTTACACGGAAAGTAAGGGTCTTTAGGAACTTTTCCGTACAGAGAATATGATTATTTACGTTTATTTTTTCCAAGACAGATGTAGCCATGGCGAAATCTTAGGCCGAAATGTCCAAAGCACAAGAGACTAGCCGATAATGCTATAGAGATCCATTTGGCAACCAACCTCGGTTAGTGTTGTCACTTGAAGTGCATTGCGCATCACTAAACGTGGCACCCAAGATGTCTTGCGGGTTGAATTGCGCATCATTAAAAGCTGTCTCCAAGATGTCTTGTGGGTTGAATTGCGCATCATTAAAAGCGGTCTCCAAGATGTCTTGCGGGTTGAATTGCGCATCATTAAAAGGGGTCTCCAAGATGTCTTGCGGGTTGAATTGCGCATCATTAAAAGGGGTCCCCAAAAAAGAGAAGTCCCCAGAGATACCGATCTCACACAGATTATGAGAGCGTGCACCTGGCTCTCTCACCATGAGGTCGGAAACACGGGGGTTCTGAAGGGAGTATGTTCGGTCTCCATACTGAGTTCGTTCCTTAGGATAGAAGGCGAAGGCAGTATAAGGTGACGGGTGCCTTAGAGATCCAATTTGCCCATGGCCGCTAACACAGGGTTCTGCCTGTGTTTGGCGCATATCGGATCCATCAAATTCTAGATTTCCTGAGGTTGGTATTTGGCCTATGTCCGTTGGTAGATTTCTAACTGTCTGGGAATCTGCTGTTGGTTGCACATCCTGTGTAAATACAGTGCTATCCGACACAGTGGGAGGGACAAGCTCGTCATGATGCGTGTTTCCATTGAAAATGTTACTGATGTACTGCCCACTCTGACTTTGGGAATTCGCTCTGTCGACGGGCCTATCGTGGATGACGGCCCAGAAATCCGTGTTAGAAGGCAGGTGTTGCTGAGAATCTATTGATGTTTCGTCTGTGCTAGAGGGGCTCCGAGTATCTGAGTAAATCAGCAATGGTTAAATACCCCAGTTCTTAAAAACTCACCTAAGGGGCTAGCCTCGCTAGCAGATGAAATATCTTGAATTCTAGTCACTGGCGTGTCCGAAACCCCAAGGCTGGAATCAGCCTCGTTGTCATCACTTCGAGTTTCCGCAGGCGTCTCTGAGGAGCCTCCGAATCGGGTCATGCTGCTGGATTCTTCTTGCGAAACAAAGCGAAATTCGCCACGCTCCTGAAACATTCGAAGATCAATAAATTTCCCCAAATGATTCATGAATTTCGTCTCGTAGTGCGATTTTCCATCCCAGCCTGATATCAGCAACCCCTCGAGAATCGAGATAGCCACTGCGAAGTTAATTTTTTTGCATCGTGAAACAAAGTTGTCGAGATTGTTTCGAATATATTGTATATCACTGGCAACACAGTTCTCTGACAATCTATTTTCGAGTCTAGAGCTTGGTTAGCTACTCGCACTTCCAAGCCTGCGATATCTTACATATCACCCATGTTATCCCCAAGTAACACAACGGCGCCAGGTCCGAATTCAAAAAAGAACGAAAGGTAATGACGGCGTCTTGTGTTATCATTTATAACAACGTCTCTACTTATTCCCAAGGAATCTGACAGTTTGCTGATGGTTATCGTTCTGCGCCGAACTCCTTTGGAAAGCTCACCGGCTGGAATGAGTTTATCGATCACCTCCAGTTCATGAGCTCCAAGGATATGTGCTATTCGTTGTCGGTAGATGTGCTTGGTTTCATTCTCGGCACTGTCATCGATCATCCGCTGTAAGACTTTGTAACGATGAATTGGACTTGTGATATGGTTCTGCAGTTGACAAGCTTTCGTATCATCCCATAAGGTTCTGTAAAACGTTAACTCTCGAGATTCTCGGGCTAAATGTTCATTAATGCCTTTGATAAGCTTCGATATAGCCGCGCTGGGCTGTGCATGCTGCGATTTTTGCCTTTTGAATGATTCAGGCGTCAACAGATTGAAGTCAATCGATCGTTTCTTCCGCATCGGTCTGCTTGGAATGCAAGGAATACTAGCGGTAGGCTCGAAAGAGGAGGAATTTGGGCCGCCCGCAAAGATCGTGCGGGTAGAGTCAGAGACATTCCGCGATGCGTGTGATATTGAGGGTGTATTTTGCAGGTGGTGAGAAAGTCGAGAGTGTTCAGAATTGAAGGTAGAGGGTTTGAATTGGACAAATTCGTCAGATGTGCCCTTGGCGAAGAAGGAGTGAAAAATTGACACGCAATCCTACAAATTAGCTTCTGTTGGCAAGTAATAGAGAAAGGACAAGAATACTTCGTCAATAATTATAGATGGTGAAAGATCATTCAATATCTTTTGTAGAGCCTCCTGAAACGAGGACATTTTTTGTTGATGTCTGATAATCCGCTCAGGCGGGAAGACGTCTGGCCTTGAATGTCCTGGCAGGTGCGACCCCGCATTCTTATTTCTTTGGGTTGGTGCAATCCTTTCCATAAGTAGTTTAGATTTCACACAACATCTGTTGTGTGAAATCTAAACTACTTATAGAAAAGGCTGCCTTAGGCTTAAAGTCCAGCCTCATTCAGCCGCTCGCCAAGTTCAAGGACTGTTGGTTAAGCGCTGAACATGCGTGCGGAGGAAATCAACTGTCATAGGCTATTCTGTTAACAAACTAGTAGCAAATGCCAAAAACCCCGGATTACCAGTATTGGTTAGCATACGGCTGATAGTTAGCTACGTCCAGACGCTGGCCGAAGCATAATCCTAAACGCATCAAAATTGATGAGACCGATCGGCACGCCGTCTTGCCTATTATCATGATTTGTAGCCTGCAACTGACCTTGGAGCTCTCGCACCTGTACCCTTAGAGTGCGAAACTGTGGCCTTTAATCTAATAATGTCGTTTGCTTCACTACGAGAAAAGTGAAGCGAAGAATCCTATAAAGATGCCAGCCTTGTTAAAGCCTCACCGCAAGTACAGACGGAGCTTGACTGTCATTAATCGTGAACTCAAACCGTCTCCTGCACGCTTCATTTGACCATGCCTGATATCTTACAGAAATATCTAAAGCAGTGCTGGAAGTTCACTGTTGGTATAATCTACAGCTGCCGAAAGCTATTCTGTTGTACCTCAACAGAGTTCGCCGATTTAACGTCCCTCTCTGAACTAGAGGCTGGTGAGCAATACCCGGACGAGCGTCGACATGTGGAGGTACCTTTTCCCCATTTATTACTCTTGTTTCTCTATAACACCAAGCATCCTAACCGCGAGCAGTTTGTCCAGACTTATTATAACTATCAACTTCACGAGGCCCAAGTGCATTACACAAACTCTGAAGATCCCAACATGGAGCTTATTTTCCGTAAAGATACGGAAAAGGCCTCGATATCTATCAACCTAAAGGATAAGAATCTTCGGATACTAAGTACAGGATTTGAATACCCAAACGAAAAAAGAGTACCAGTGGTAGATTTGGAATTTGCATTTTACCATTGGACCTTTCATGCAAACGTTCCTATGTCTTGCCTGAGGGCTCGTAATGAGTTTAGGTCTTACAATGTACTGTCCTGAATTTACAAACAGGCTGTTTTTATTACCTACAATTTCAACCTGGGCTTTTTTCCTTCTTTTTTTTCTATTCTTTATTCCTGTATAATTTTTACAATTTATTTATCACATCTCTAACTTACATGTACATAAACCGAGACTTTCAGGCCGGGCTCGTAGTTCTACAATTATTCCTTGCACTGTCTCTATTCCTCAGAAATATACTTTAGGGGTAGAACGGTATATTTAGGCTACGCACATCCTATCAAAGCCATCTATATCACAAAACCTATGAATACTTTCTTCTCTGCGGTCATGTTGCTTATGCTAATATTGTTCTGTCTTGTCCTGATGTTCTCCCTTCTACGCATCCTTTTTAGAGCAATCTCTATCCTTCCTGATCTTGAGTCAGCTATTCCTGTTCACCCTTTACGTGGCGAATGAACTTTACTCCACACACATTTCAAAGCATTTATTCATTGGAGAATGAGAGTTCACGCATTATAACAATTGCTCTAGGAACACTCTCACCAAAATAGAGGTAAATAAGTGATTGCTGCCTACATGACGCCGTCTAAAACGTTTATAGTATGCTACAGCTGAAAACACCTTAGAGGGACGGGAATGTCTCAGAAACTGGTTGAACGAAAAAAAGGCCTCGTGTATTCCTACGAGGATTTTGCTGCATATGCAGGAGGGTAACTGGAGTGATCTGTGGAAGTGCCTGCTGTAGTTAATTTGGTCATGAGAGATGCCCAGAGTGCTTGGAAATGACAATGGAGCAATCTTAGCCTAGCGTGTACAGCAACAATACATAATCAAAGATATGCAGTCATTTGGTCCGCAGATCCTTTGCTCTAATAGTTGGCGTGGTACTCATATGAAGGAATGGGAGCCTTCTATCATACTTAATCGTAGTGTCTTGGTGCAACAAAGGAAATTTCGAAGAAGAGAGGTAGAGTTCTAGAGCCTACTACAGTGAGGAACATTAGCCTATTCCTGGTCCAGAAACACTTCGCATGCATCTAATTTGATTGAGATGGGCTTTGGCTGTATCGTGGAGTGAGACTGACCAGCCTGCTAAGTTGTTTTACCAGGGAATAGAGAAGATAGCTGAACTGCTGTGTGTAATAATTTGTTTTGTGCCTAAGAATCAATGGGTATCCCAATTGCTTCAGTAGTAAAGAATTTCCTGTTTTTATAACTAAAGTAAAGCAATGTAACAAATATTTTAACGTTAATATCGCTGTATAGGAAAAATCATGCTACCCCTTCTGGCTGAAAGCTGGAAGCCTGTCATCTTGATAGGCAGGCCCTTTATAAATGATAGTATTTTACTATTGCGCACCATGATCAGTCTACCATTGTTACAATTAATTCGTTCGCTGTTTGGCTTCCTGAACAAAATAGTCATAGTTCTCTTACATTTCTATAATAAGAAATTGCCTGTTTGCGCCTATCACCATTCATATCGAAATACGCAATTCTATGGGCTATAAGAAAAATCCTAGAGAAACAGATATAAGAGGGTCAAAAATCAGCTATATAACCAGTGTTGGTTTTCATTTAACTTTTTCTCTACTCATATTTTACATTTCCCTTTGTTCTTGAAGACACAATATGACATCGGAATCCACGCCGATCCTAGATTTAGGGGAGATAACGCAGACATCAGCGAACTTGCAACCCCGAGCAACAATGGAGTTAATAGAATCCCTTGAGAAAGTTTGGGGTATCGCAATTTTTTTTGACCGCAAACTTGCTGCTTGTAAGGATCATTTGAAAATTCTTCTTTATGGATACGACAATATGGTTCTGTACTTTGTTGATTGCAATCCCAAAATCCACGATTCTCTGAAATGGTATAAGCGAGGAGACATTAAGGCAGCCACCCCCGGAGCATTCCAATCAATACGCCTATCTGTCACAGTCGGCCATATCGCATGTCTTATCTTGAACAACAATCTTGAACAGTGGTTCCAACGGGATAGTTGTCAATGTGAGGGATGGGCGTAAGTAAAAGGCAATAAGAGTTTTTTTCCCAGACTAAACTTTATTAGAAATATGTTCATCGAATACTTGGGCAGAAACAACAATCCCTACGAAATTTGAAGTCGGCACTGCCTGTGGAAACTGGATCAACAAGAGAACAGAAAAGATACCAGGCATGATCGAGATGGGGTATGTCTGGGGTGATAGTAGCATCGGAAGTGGTCAACAGGGTCAGTTAAAAAGGGCACATGTAAAGGCGGAAGTTACAAATATCTAAAAAATGGACTGATATGTTTCGTACGAATGGTTACTTAGCAAAAAGAATGAGATTATTGAGGATGGGATCAGAGGGCTAAATTTAATTATTTTTGTTAGAAAAAAAAGCCAGGGATGAATACGCTTGGCTGAGGCCTACGATCTCCTACTACACAATGAAACTTGGTATTTTTGATTGGAGATACAGGGAAATAATGATGAGGTCAGAATTGTAAAAATGATCATCATTCTAGCCTATGGCCTCTCTTCCGTTATACTAATTAGAGATTGTTAACACGATATGGGAAGGGATCTCTACTGACCAAGGTATGAGATATTTTGCGTAGGTCAGAGCTCTCTGCGTATAGCGCAACGACCGACGATCACGGGCTGAATTAGGTAACGAGGTGGTTGCCGTATACTGTATTTCGCTCACAAGAATGTGCGCAATAATAAAAGTCGGAGTAAGGGAGTGAAACGAAATATGCCTATTCATTCTTTTGTCTTAAATGAGGGTTGATTGGTTGAATGTTGGCTGACATTGGGGCCTTTTTACAGGAAAAGTCTCGCATAAATTGCTGTTAAAGCTGAACTAAGATGAAAGCCTTTCGAAGATTTATCACGAACCAGTACGAAATGAGTAAAGGGGAACTTAAAATGGGCTTACTTGAACTGTTGTATGGCTGATTCTCTATATATCAAGTCCCTCTACAGCTTTTTATTATCTATAAAGGTACCTATCATCTCTGCAATCTTCCAAAGCTTCCACTTTTTTATCACACTGTTCAGTTTACCATAATATGGAGGGAAAACCAGATAAAAGAAAGGTATGATTATATCAGAAACCATTACCGATTATGTTTATACTAAACTAAGAATTCTAGCGTGAAGTCAAGGTCTGCGGGGAATGTCGCCACCGAAAGATCAAGGTAAATATGTTCAGAAACCCCATGGGCAGTTTGAATAATTTATACAGTGCTCGCCATTCCGTCCCTGCTCTCCTTGCTTGAAATATAAAAGACAATGCGTGCCGGTAGCCTCAGTTTCTGATGAGGACCAACACTCTAAACGCATCTGGACTCTTTGCCCAATCATCTTTTACAAATGCTCAGGCTTTGAGGAAGAGTTTGAAACAGTAAATATTCAGGGATATGTAACCAATGTTGATTTGCATTTCTCCAGATCAGTTACTTTCAAGTTGACTGCTGAGACAATTGCCCAACTGGTGAAATTGCACAAGCAAATCTATTTGAATCATTCCTTTCGGTATGATGCATTATGGTATACCAGGATACAGGAACTGGATTATTTGAATACACAGTTCCTGAATGAATTGATGCAATTTGTTTATACGACTGGTTGTGAAACTCTCGAGAGCCTAAGGAAAAATGAGGATATATCGGCTGATGTTAGCAGTGGCTTAACGTCTCCGGTTTTGCATATGTTCAACTATGTATATGCGTTGTGATATTACTGTTGAATATACTGAATGTTTTTAACTACTGTCCAATTTTACAATCTGTTATACTATCTCTTTGGAAATCCCTCTTGTGACAACCTCAGAAATGAAGAACTGGCTCTTATTGCAGGTTTTTTGCGAGAACACTTGGTTGAAGAAAAAAAAATTATCTTCGAATAAAGAGGAGTTCCCTTTCTCAGAAATGGTTAGGAGAATAGTAACTCCAGAAAAGAACTTCGTCTAAGCACGGCCACATGTTAACTTAGCTGAGATTCTGCCACATTAATCCGCCTCAAAATATGCTGCGGTTAAGATACCGTCATGGGTTATGTAAAATATGAGTCATATTATCACAATAACATGGTAATAGCTATATGAGGATTACCTTTGGAAATAATTAAAAAAGTAGAACTTATGTTCTAAAAATTATGGCATACCACTAGCTTAGTTTGGCCGATATCTAAGATATGTGTGTATATATTGGGCAGAAAGAGAATCGATGGTTGTGACGCAAGGATACATTAGACGGTCCTGTTGGGAAAGCTGTTCGCAGGATGTTAAAAAATGTTATCGAAGTTGCACGGTCTGCAGCTTCCGATGAAGCTAGATTTGCGCAAATTGCTGTTATTTGCTTTCTAGATCAGATGTTCCAGAGAGTGATTATAAGAAGGCCGCGTTCTTCTATTTCTTATGGGTTGATGTTTGGAAACTGCAGTAACCAGATGGACTACATTCTGGCCATTTTGTTTGATATATGCTTCCTCTACTACCTGTCTGTTCTTTGGGGAATATTTATTTGCCACTTTTTTGCTCTGGACACCTTCCTAGTGGTATTATCACTTGGGTAAGCCCTTTACTTGACCTCAGATGTATCTTTCTAACAGTATCTTAAAAGAATATATTTTCTAGATAGTATCACCTACTTCAGCCCTACGACTTTTGTCTTACTTTTCTACCTGTTTAGTGTTATTTCAAATGCTCTTAGGCATATCTGGTAAGCATTATCTAAACAATATGATATAGCCTCTGGACCTAACACTGGAACAGATGAGGCACTAAATAAGCTCGGTGAAAATGTTGAATTTCAGACATGTTGTGGAGTCAAGTGGGCACCGAATCCCGAAATACTGTTTGTTGCTCGATGCAGTAACGGCAGGTCCACAATCATCAGCCTGCCTCTGAGAATACGTGCGGAGGCAACAACCGATTCTGATCTGGTCAAGATACTACAGTTCCGGTGCAAGCTATTCAAGCCTAACAAACTTCTGGACTCGTGCCGTCGGGATATCCGTTTCCCGTATGACACGAAAAGGGAAATCAGTATATATTTGGTACATAAATAGTTCAACTATGGTATCAATGTGATAGTTACGATGGGAATTTGAGTTACGTATTTTCATTGCTAATCAGCATGTGGCTTTTCCATCATGATATTACCTTTATTGTAGAAAAGTTGTCTAGAGTCGATGCTGGGTACAATATCACAACGATCTTGGATCTTATTGATCAGACTCTCAAAGGTTTGGCGAGAAGTCTTTTTACCCTGTCATCGAATGATGGTGCCTTCTATTTTAGCGCCCAATGGAGCTTCAATGCGACCGAATACTCCCAAGATGCATAGACTTGTTAGCACCCTCAGGGGCACGTCAGCTTGCATCTATTCAATTCCTGCAGGTCTGAGATCGCGGGCTTATATGTACCTAGCTAGTTTCTGATAGGACACAGGGCTCTATATTCCAGACAAGCTCATTCTCGTTCATGAGTTCAAAGATCATTATTCGCTGCAGGCTGGAGAGGAGATGATGGTAGATGGTGAGTCAAGATTTTGATTGTTTATTTTGTCAGCATACTAACTATCTAAGACTTGAATGCTAGGATCACGGATTTCTTACAGTCGCAAGGTCAATATTTAACAAAGGAAGAATGGTTGTTACGGTACCCGAAGCCAGCAGAGACTGAATGAACGGTCTTACATAGGTACTAGGCAGCTGTACTACAATGTGCTAAGTTAGTATATTTTCGATGTTGGATAAACTGGTTGACGAAGATGGAATTCCGAAAGAAGCCCGCGAGCGACGAACCCCCGTCATTCTTAACTATGCATCAGTACGGGCCGTGGAATACTAAAGATGCCGGGCACATGAAAAAGCTGGGCCCAATCCTGCTGGCCCTCACACTCTACGCCGAGGCTGAGGTCAAAAAGGCAGAAATAACTTCGTCTTCTGAATAGGTGAACAGTCACATAGGCCCTTCGCTCTGACAAGTTGATTCACTGACGCATTATCGGCATCCTGTGGGGCTTTCACGCCATAGCTCTTAGCTTTTGCAAACCAGTTCATTCTTCCACTTAGAGTACATGGCTATTACTGTTTTGATTCTCCCTCTATATATATTTACTAGTCAATATTAGAATATCTGTAGTTTAGTTGTACGTATAGACTGGATAATAGATTCATGTCTAATTCACTGACGCGCTACTACCATAAGACCGTGGAGTTTGTAAAATAGTGGTGCCGTGGCCTACGCGCCGGGCACTAAAATCGTGGTGCAACCCAATGTATATAAATCAATCTCGTTTCTCTCTATCCAGTTTATAGCCCACATATCAGCGGAATTTCCTATCCCCGAGCTACGCACAATAAGATTACAGAGCTAATTGGGACCGTCACTATGAGCTTCTCCTTTGAGTCAGCTGAATCTAAGCCTGATGGCTCGTCCCTGCTCCATGGTCAGTTGATATCTTCCATTATAGGCTTACGCACAAACTAATTTCACGTTAGAAGAGAACTCTACAGGTATCGCTTTACCAAAGAGCGGTCCGAAGGAGCAATCAGGATCAAACAAGGGCCAATCAGAGCAGCTTGTGCAACATGACTCGTTTCCGTATTGCAAACGTGAATGGAACGCTCGCAAGGAATTAGCTGCACGCAAGCTTGAGCTCAAGAAGCTCCCTTGCCCTCTTCAAAATCTTTCTATGGCAGACTATTATTGGACATATTGCCTAGGCAGTCCGTGTCTCCACGGGTTCTACCCTAGATATATTCGTGGGCGTCGGATTATTTGCCCTGCTTCGTTTGAGGCTCTCATGGGATCGGATTTTTAACAATGATATTTTCTGCTCTCTTAGCTGTGGGTTGTGTCAGAGCTCACGCGCACTGAAAGTGGTGCTTCGAGGCTTTCACTGAATCTACAATTGTGCTTTTACTCCGTCGATTATGTATTTTGCAAGCCTCAAATACCTCGTTTAACTTTGTTATTATCGCTATCTTCATCTCCTTCACAGAAAGCTCGTATCAATTGGTATCGTATCCATTGAAGGAAGGAAACTAGACGCTACTGATAAAAAAGCTGATCCTGTCGCTGTCTCAGGGGAAAGATGGACTAATACTCTGCATATTCTTGTCGTATAACGAATAACCCTTTCTCGTATACTTCGCCGCAACGCATTCTACTGGCGACAGATCCGATTAATCCACTTAGAGATGGTCTGATAATTAATCCTCCTGCTTATAGCTCCAAAAGGTAATATTTACGTATCTAGATGGCGATAGGGTCTTTTTTCCCTGTGGAATATTATTAGCAGGAATACTATGGCTACGGACACTGCTATCGCCTGGCTGAGGTAACACTACCGCCCGGGGACTCTCTTTGGCGACTGACTTTTTCTGGCGGAGAAGAACCGGATTTTAGTTCGCTATGGTAGTTATCGTTGGACAGACTACATAGAAAAATCCGCCCACGATTTTTACCTGGTGTAGTGTAGACGGCATAGGCAATAATATTACCTTGAGAGTTAGGCATCTAGATACTAAAAATAACCGGACACTGGACACGAACTTAGGAGCCTTCGGAAGAGTTCGGAAAAGATGACTGAGAAGGTGCGTGGGATGATACAAAAAGGAGGGGCTCGGACACTTTGGCCAATCATAAAATTGGCGCAGATGGGGGCGGATACCCCCTCCGTTCAAGGCACGCATATGCAGTTTAGGGCCACGGACGCTAAGCCTAATTTTGTGTGCAAAACGGCACTTTGGCTGTTAACGATACGTGATAACCAACTACACCATCCGGCCAATTAATGAAGAAGGTCGCAAATCTTGGCTACAGGAGCCAAAAGCAAACAGAGAAGATTTTATTGCCCGAGGCACAAGCATATCATCCATTTGTCCCATGAACTGTTATGACCCGGATTTTTAGTCCAGTCAGAGATAATGGTGACCGACTTTAGGCCGTGTATATCTAATTCAGAAAACTTACTCGTCAGCACCTAGTTGAGAACTGACCGAGTGACCTAAATTCTATCTTTTTGCAGTCCAGAAACTGGAGGCATGTCATATTTATATATTATTGGTCACACTCAGGTGGTGTGTAGTAGGAATGGCATCCACGGAATGCAGAAAACGGATCTGGCAATTACTTCTAGTATCAGTCTATACCAGAAAGAACGGTCAGATTTTCATGCGTCCCAAGATGCCATCAACTTACGAGAGCTGCATGACTAACACTGAAGAGCTCATCTTTATCCTACGGAGGGTTGTCAATGCCACATGCCTAGACTATGCATATTCAGCCGAAGCAAACTTGGAATTATTTTGTGATTAGTTTGTGCACAGCCGCAACAGAGGACTCCCTTGGAGATGCATTAGAGGATGAATACTATGCCTAATCTATTATTCTTATTGGTTAGAGGAGTATAATTGGCCACAAGTGAGAACACTAAGGCAATACTGGCTGTCGATGGTCGGTTTCTTTGGAAATCAAGCCATCTATCGTATCTCCAACATTAATTCCCCAACCTAATCTACCTAGAGTTAGCGAGAAAGCACATATACTCAGAATTTTCTCTTTATTGCCCGCATCCGGCCGAGACAGATGCGGATAGAGACGGAAATACGGCCCATTAGCTAAAGTTTGAAGAACTGGTTGGATGAAGTGAACTGACCACGGTCTGGTTACTCTTGGGCATCGACCCATTGTCCCATGGAGCCACGTTTCTCGCCAGCGAGAGACTTTTCTTCGGTCGTGAAACAATCTAGGCGCACATAACAATGGTCGCAATCGCTGCAGGAGCCGCTTTTGCTGGACCAATAGGTGTCATGGCCACTCCCCAGGTTCTCTAGCTTCTTGGTACAGCAGCAGGAACAACCGGCACCCTTGGAGCCGTTGCCGAAGGAGCTATAGTTGGGGCTGGGGTTGTTGCTGGAGGCACTGCCGCCGTGGCCGAAGCCGCAGTGACGACTGGAATCACGTCTGCTATAGCAACGGGAGCAATAGCCAAAAGTGCATCGGCTGCCGGTATTGCCGCTGCGACCATCGCCGGCCCCGTGGGAATAGCGGTCGTGGGTAGTGATGGCTACACCTGGGACTGCTGGAAGCCTGTCGTCAGGGATACTTCCGTATCTCCATCCCGCGGCATGATTCTACGACGTCTGGCATCTCACCCAAACATTCGATCTATTACCCTCGAGTGTGACGGATTCGTTGTAGGAACCACTTTCGGAGACAACTTTCGCCTTTCGCCTGTCAACGTCGACGGCCAGCTAGCTTTCCATGCAACTCAGATCTGACAGCCTCTTGAATAACCGCCGCCAGCACACAAACACAGGCGCAGAGATCGATAGAATATGATCGAACTCGACTGCTCCAACAGCAATATGCCAGAGACTGCGAGGGTTGGTCGGACGTATGTCTAGGGTGCCGAGCTGGTGATTGGTTTCTGTATGCTCAAATTCATGTCCACTTTCCTGTTGTTTTTGCAGTAATTTTAACATGGAAAATGTCTCACAATGTTCATTTGTAGTCTTGAATCCGGAAAGGTTCTTGGAACTGTACAGCTCAGAACATCTACGCTTTCACAGCAAACATGGACAATTTTGAGGGAGAGATTCCTGTAGGGGGGTTTTTTTCGCGATTTTTTCTTACGCGCCTTTAAACCTATGCCTTTGAAGCGGTATAAAGTATAAAATTATAATCTCTCTAGAATTTCTACATGAGGATGTCCCCCATGTACCTATTCTGGTGACTCTAGCATAACCCCGTAATAAATAGGCGCCGAAATAGGGGATAACTGAATGGCGAGTACACACACACACACACACACACACACACACACACACACAATATGCCCTAGTCATTTGGTCCTGATTTTGGCTAACCATTTAGGATCCTGTTCTGGGATCCATAGTTTACCGAAGTTATAGCAACATTGTATCTGCCCGCCGGGAAATTTTTGAATTAATCAGTACATCTACCACACGAAAGCCAAATATTCGCATAAACAGGCTTGATCGATAGGCAGGTCGCCACTGAGTGATACGACTAGAAAGGAGAAGGAAGACATGACCTAACTGCTTTATGAATAAACATGGAAGCGATATGAAATAAAACGGTAAAGATTCAGTACCAACACCATTTATTAATTGCTCTTGTCCGGGAGAACCGGATTTTAGTCAAACTCTTATTTGATATATGACAGATTGCCTACCATATATAACTACAGAATATAGGTTTTAAAGCTGCTCTTGCACCCCCGAACAACACCCCCTCTACCTCCCCTACCAAAAAGAACCCCGAGCCCCCACTCCCAACTCAACAAACAGCCCATGCCAAACTAACAAAAAGCAAAAAGCAAAAAGCAAAAGGCAAAAATGAAATCTCGGAATGGAGAGGTGGGGAATCGAACCCCAGACCTTTCCCATGCTAAGGGAACGTTATACCACTAAACCACATCCCCGAGAAATAATCCGAAAAGGAATGGAGAGGCGGGGAATCGAACCCCGGACCTTTCCCATGCTAAGGGAACGTTATACCACTAAACCACATCCCCTATTCGGATGGTGTCGGCCTGAAATTTTGACATTATAAGCCTAAAGTTAAGATTAGGAGTTATGTTCTCCTGATCGGGTAAGTTGGTGCAGCAGCATGCCGGATGTCATGCATTTGACATGCATATGCTAGTGGGTGATTGGGCGAGGGAGATTGAGCGATGCATGAGACCTATTAACTATATGGGAGATTAATTTGTCATATTGACTGTACTTTGTAATCGTTATTAGACCACAATATTAAGCAAAAATTATGATTATATTGTTTCCGTCAGTGGGCTCTGACGGAGTACTAACCGATCTTCTCGGCTGGTGTTTTGAAGAAACGCCAAAGTAGTAGGCTGCATCATTAAAATCGCGGCCTGTAAATAGTTGTAACCGCTTAAGACCAAGCAACTCTTCATTCTCGAAATGCATCATTCGGAACCGTTACGCCAATCGGCTTGCTACAATAATATCGGAGAATATTCCTGACAGACAAGTCGTCCATAAAAACAGTACTGGAATATTGAATATTCATATGTTGTCCATCGTGATGCGCCTGGATAATTCTCGCACGACCCGGTCCAAGATACGATAAGACCAAGAGCTAGAAGAATATGAGCCAATATAGAACTAAAAATGTATGAGCGGGACTCACAGGAAGAACTAGATGATGCTCGTATGACGGGAAACCCATGCGGATTTCCATCACCCTCATTATAGCTTTGACCTCGCTTAATGGAGTTTAACGCCGGGATCATTTGCATCCACTAGCACGTCCATTATGGCATGCGGGGCCGCATGGGTTCGATCCTCCAAGCAAAGGTAAACCTGCCAACGATTGAAACTGTGCCTCTGTTCGGATAGCCGTAATTCGGGGTTGAAGGGCCATTTCTCCTTGCTTAATAGACTGCCGGTGGATCTGAGTGAGCATTCTCGTCATCCGAGTGCATAGAAGGTGGAACACAAACCCCAACCGGGAAAGCGAGGTGAACTGAAATAGATCGAAGCCTTCATCTTTCAAAGCGTTGATTTTGGTGTCGTGAATAGTCGAAAGAATGGCTGGAAATTGGACTCGGGGGCGGACGCTTTCAGCGTGATCTTTCAGAAGCTGCAGTCGTTTGTTCCCTCTCTCCACTGAATCATGCTGACTGGAATTTCTTGAGTTCTGAGCGTTGGTGAATTTTATGCCTCGGGGGACAAAGAAGCACGGCTTGAACTTTTGGAACTTATTAGCAGTCAAATCAACCGCGGTTGCCCGAACTCCAAGCCTCTTGAGCTGCTCGTCCTGGAGAACGAGCCGCTTATAGCGCTCCAAAGTCTTTCTAATTCTGGTGATTTCGCTATAAATGAACTTGCGTTTGGCATCCATATTGTGACGAACAAGGCGCTGGTGCGAGTATGGCAAGAGAGTGGTAAGTGTTGTCTTGTTGAGAAAGGTTCCGTTGCTTCATCGTCTCGCAAAATCGGTATAGCATACGAATTTATTATGTCAATAGCCACGGTGGTTAGGTTAGACTTAGCGAAGTGTTGTTACTAATGCCTGAACTCTTGGGACGACGACCCCTCCGATCCCCGCCCAAGCTGATGCTGAACGCATCGAGGGCAAAGTTTATACGTTCAAAGCTCGAAGATTGAGCAACTGAAATCCTCGCGATATAGAATGAATAAAGAGCGCAAATACCGCCTTGACCTGACACTTCCAACGCACTGCTTTGATGGAACATGATGAACAAAGTGATGTGCAGGGCAGGTGTGAGGTGATGCGGAGGAGGTCAAACGAGGGGGGGGTGGGGGGGGGGGGGGGGGGGGGGGGGGGCGCCGCGGGGGGGGGGGGGGGCCGGGCGGGGGGGGGGCGGGGGCGGCGCAGGCCAGGCACCCCCCACCATGGA